AGCCCTCTGACTGACTATTATTTCATTAATGATAATGAGTAATGGTAATAACAAATTATTAAACTATTGTAGCCAAAACGAGGCAAGTGGAGAATCTTATTCAAAAATAAAGTACCAAGGAATAAAAATTAAAATCGTATACATTACACCCAAACACCGCAACGCTCGAGTTTCAAACATACGAGTAACTAGCTTTACTGAACTTTCTGAGTAAATTGAGGGCGCAATTGCAAATGACGGTGCTTAGCGAAATTTGATTGGCTAAATTTATGGCAGCCATCTTGGATGGTACACACACACAGTTCTGCGTATTTCGAACATCGAATACATTGCGGTTAGCGCTCTAGTATTCTTATTATATCTCTATGGCAATTACTCCGTTCCTTGTGGAGTATTGCTAGTCTGCTGCTAATTAAGCAAAAAAAATATTCACATTTAGCAGATACTCATTAAGTGAAGCGAGACAAACGTAGATGTGTAAAATCCTTAAAATTGTTGCTGCACCTCATGATTTCTTAAGAAATAAAAATGCTAACACATTCCTTGTTTTTATTTTAGAGAGAAGCGATTGCGATATGAGACATCTCTCAGAATGCGAAGGTGATGACGATGTTTTCATCAAAGAAAAATCACCTGTAAAAGCAGAGAAAAGAAAAATAAAATCTGATGAGAAAACTTTTAAAAAGAAGAAAAACAAGGAACTTAAAAAAATGAAAAAGGAGGAATTGAAAGAAAAGCTCAAGTTCTTCAGTAAGAAATCTGATCGCAGAGAATCAGATGGAAGTAAAAGCCCCGGAGATGGCAGCAAATCAAAATCGAAGAAGAAAAATAAAAAATTTAAACTGAAGAAACAGATTTCAAAGGAAAACCGAAAGGAAGAGTCCAGAAAACGAAATAAAACGAAAAAGAAGCAGAAATGTGAACCACATGATATAACTGAGGGTGCGCAATCTCTATTTGTTACCCCGTTTGTCGATAGTAGTGACACGGTAGATTCCGTTACTGACGGAGAAAATCTAGACATGCAGATCTTTCCCGAGGTCATAGCTAGTGATAGTGACGACAACTTTTCTGACAGCAGTACGGAGGATCCAGAAATGAAACTCATGCTAGCCCAAAGTAAACGTAGACACTACAGTGTTCAAACCTCGTCAAAGAAGAACGACGGTATGTATCTCAGCCGAAGTTCTTTTACATTCGGCCGCCCTCTATATACCTATTTTTTTTATCATTATTTAAATACTAAAAATAATTATTATGAATAACAACAATATTTATTATGATGATTATTGTTATTATTTAAGTAATAACAATAATTATCGTAATAACTGTAATTTTTTTGGCGTATAGTGCAAAGTGGGTGTGTGCAATTCAATATCTATTACGTTTCTCGTACCACATTATAAAATGAGTGGTTAAGTTTATTTTGATATTGTATTATTTATAATTCCAGTTTTATTTCTAATTCCAGTATTATTATTGCTTTCACTGATTGTTTCTTCAGTTAATTGAATGATTACCATCGCTTCATCTTCACGACCTGATCTGTAGTATATCTACGGTTCAGTTAATGCATTCATTTTTTTTATTGGTTTTAACTATTAACTTGTTGCTCAACTAGTTTCATATCTTATTATAGGCTATCAACGACAGTTGTGGCAGTGGTCAGGGAAGAGCACGCAGCGCAGGGGTATTAAGGGAAAAGCCAAGAAATTGTTCTACAAAGCAATTTCACGAGGAGAAGAGATTGTAAGGGTAAGTGCTTCAATAGGCCTATATATCTCGTTTACGATTCAGTTTGTATTCAAATGTGTGCTGATTATGTATGATCATATACAATTATTTTAATTTATATAAGTGATGTTTGCAAGTATTAAGGAACTTTTCTCAACCGTATAAGAATGGAGAAAGAGTGGAGTATGGTACCCCAAGACAACTAATTTTCGATCTAGTGTCTCTATCATGGTCAAGTATTTCTAAACAAAATCTCACACAACCCCCCACCCCCACTCCGCTCAGTGCTGGCACTTTGCAATCCCCCTACCAGTACTTTTGTCTAGATCCGTGCCTGTTGTAATCTATTATTTATTCATATATTTTATTTATATACCAAATTTAACAAGCTTGGACCCATGGTTACAACGTCCGTGTAATATTTCATTTTAATTATGCCTAGGTTGGAGAGTGCGCAGTTTTTCTTTCAACTGGACGCGCTCATCTGCCCTATATCGGCCGAATCGAAAGCATATGGGAATCGTGGGGAGGAAATATGGTAGTTCGCGTGAAATGGTTCTATCATCCTGAAGAAACTAAAGGAGGACGCCGACCCCATGATGGCAAGGTAGGCAGCCATGACGAGGTATCAAACTCTTTTATTTTGTATGTTCATTTACTTTAAAGTTCATTTATTTATATCTACTATCGTCATATTCATTTCATTTCATTATATTTATCAGATTTACCTCCTCCTAAACAATTTCTTTCGTTAATCACTGCCTCATTTCTTTCTATTTTATGTGTAATTTCTTTTTTTATGTTTGAAAAAATATATATGTGTCGGCTAAACTGGTGGAAGCCACTGTGTGCGCTGATCCGTGTCGATCTCTTGGTCTCGGATTCAATTCACTGTTATTTTGAAGGAGTTATTTTAACTCCAAAGGAGTTATTCTGTAACTAAAAAAAGGTACAGAATAACTCCTTTCGAGTTAAAATAACTCCTTCAAAATAACTCCTTCAAAATAACAGTGTTCTCATTACTGCACTCCTTGTATTTCAGCTAGAGGGCTGAAATGCAAGTTACGATAGCGCACTGTCTCTTGGATGAGACGTTTAAGCCGTTGGTCCCGTGTACATTATGACCCATGTGCACGTTAAAAATGCAGTACACTCTTCTGAAAACAGTAGGGAATTGTCCCCCGATGTATTGCCTAATCCAGCAGAATGACTCCACTGGAAATTAATCTTCTTCAGACTTTCGTGGGTTATTCTTGGTGTTTACACCGAAGAAATCCATCCATGCATCCAAGTTATGATGGGAGATTTTATAGTTTGAACTGGTTTTAAATGTGAATGTACCTGGGCAATTCTTTGAAAATTATTTTTGGATTTGTTGTTTCTTCGCTTTGTAGATGGCGCTGTATTTGTCTCCGCATGTTGACGAGAACGATGTGCAGACGATCTCACACAAATGCGAGGTGCTGTCGGTGGACGAATACAACCAAAGAACCAAGAAGATCAGCGGGAAGTGTAAAGAAGATATGTATTACTTAGCTGGAACGTACGACCCAACTAATGGCCATTTGGTTCCAGTATCACAGATGGAGAACTTTAAATAAACAAATCTTGAGTTAGCAAATTGTAAACCGAGTTTTTTTTTCACATTGATAGGCTCTACTTGTTAATGCATTGTACCACAGTCCCTATATATGGTCTGTGATTGTACGAACGCAACATAAAGACTGGAAATGTGATATAAAGCAGAAATTAGAGATATGAAAACGTGCGAAGATGTATTTTTGTGTGTTTAGTGTTACGATATGTGACAAAGAAGTAGAGAGCCGTTACTGTTAATGGTGATATTATGCAATGGGGACTGACAATATGCGATGAGATGTTGTACGTATTAACTGAACCATGGTCTAATGTAGTTTAAGATTGTTAAATTAAGTAATTACCAATTATCACATTATAAACTAAGAAATATATCATAGGATTGTATATAATATATAATTATATACATATATATATATATGTATATACACACATATATATATATATATGTATATATATATATATATATATATATATATATATATATGCGTAATTATATATGGTGTATACTACTTAATGTGTATATATTATATATGGTACTTTATTCTTTAATATCATTATTATGCACAACGAAACAAATCCGTGTATAGCCAAGGTCCATAAAATTTCTATCAGATGATATGGCGATAGTTCGTGTGATTAAAGAATATGTTAGTAATATTTTTGTTTCCATTACATCGAGAAAATAAGTGCATTGCTTGTCTATATATATATTCATGTCGTAGGCCTATTAGTTTTATTTGTATTTTTATTTGTTTAAAGTATATATTTTTTTTACTGTTTTAGGTTCTGCGTATTGTTGTTATCAACTTTGAGATAAATGTGAAAAAAAACTGTCCAGAATGCACTGGGTGGTTATTATATAACTTTTTTTTCTTCTAATGCTTTAAACTTATGATAATCAATTAACAATTAATTAATGTTTAATTTTTAAAATAATTACACTACTAGCGGTGTCTTTTCATGTTATCCATGAAGTACTTTTTGATTTTAGCATGTTTACCAAATCTGCTTTATCATTCCACAAAAGAAACAAACACTTCAAATGCTAATTTCTCCGTCATTGTATTTTAGACGAAAAAAATTAGATAGTCGCACCGTTGTTTTAAACCTCAATATTATGACACACCCATTTTTAAATTTGGAATTCAGTGTTTCAATGAAACTGAACGTATTTTCTTCTCTCAAAGAGGCGAGGGATGTACTAGTATTAGACACAGAAAGTAATGTGCTTTTGTTAATTTTATATTTTTACAGTAGATGTTTTACGAAGTGTATAATTTTGTTGTGGAACTATACAAAATATAAGTCTATTGAATAGGATATTATTATTTAATTATTACGTTTTATTTTCCTTTTTGATACAAAATTCCCTTGAGTAAATTGGTAACGGTATTCATCCTGACCAGTGTCTTAATCTTCATACTCCTTGTAAATTTCCCGAATTTTTCCGTAGGGTGTATAAAATATATGTATATAGTTGTAAGGAAATATAAAGATTATTAAAGAGAATTATGGAACGTTGCTGTTTCATTTTGCTAACTGTTACTGGTTTGAACCTTGTCACCAAACGGTGGCTATTTTAATATGTTTGTCAGTCTGCACTACTAGACCAAACCTTGATTACGTCATCATTGTTTTTACGCACAGTGCATAAGCCAACACTTTTTAGTGCATTAATACCTACCGAAGAAAATCGTCGGGGCTCGCAAAAATCCCGATGATGTCATCAATTAGTCATTAGTCTGTTATCTAACCGGTAAATGCAGTTTATCGCAAAATAATGAGAAAACGTTTTTGTGACATTTAAAACGTTTATTTGAACCTTTTTTGTTTTATTGTAAATCTTTATTTATTTTTTGGATCGTGGGATAAACAAAGAATCGTAATGTCAAGGTTTGAAGGAAGATATGTGTTGTATTCAAAGTACATCCATAAAGGCCAACTCAGACAGCGTCGGCCGACGCAGCCTGACGCGTTTTGTTGTCGCGTCGGGTCTGTGTGTGTTGAACGCAGACGCGATGGTGTGCGTCGGGGGCAGTCGCGTAGTAGAATATTAAACGTGTTTAATATTTCCAAGATATTTCTCACGACGGCTTAAGACTGTCCACGACGATAAATCGGGTCGGGCTGCGTCGGCCGACGCTGTCTGAGTTGTCCTTAAGATAGACGTTGAAAATAAGGACATGGATGAGAAACAGAGTATTTTATAAGTGAAGAATTTAATACGCATTGATATAATTATAGTTTGTACATTGTAAAGAGATTGTTTTTAAGTTCATGAGAACACAGTATTCGTTGTTTGTTGTAAATAAAATGCTATTTTGAAATCTGGCTACTGTTCACTCTGATTTATTGAAGTCGAAAATTTACAAAATTTATTTAAATTCATGGTTTTCAACCCCGGAACTAACAACAAAATTTGGCCCTCGAGATATTATAATTTTTTTTTTGTTAAATCATTGAAAATTGACTAATTATTTGTTGGGCTCAAGAACAACTGACTACCGGAGAAAGCCATGTCATGACAGCATCTTTGACTGGACTCAAAAAGTGTGCCTTCAATGTTAGGCTATCATTGCAGAAGCATCTTCAGGAAAATCAGTGCACGTCGTTTTACCATCGAGAGAATGAAAAACGAGGAAATTTGATCTGAAAAAAGAAACATATTCTATTAATCATCTACTCCGTCTCTTCATGTTAAATCATGTGGACATGTGTTTGTAAGGAACATGACAATAATCGTCTTTTTAATAATATAATGGTGTTTTCGAGTTGTGGGGTGTGTTAGAGAATGTTTTGTATACAGTAGATATATAAGTATACTCCAACAAAACCAGAGATTCCTCTGCCCAACACTGAGTATGTGCTCAAGATTTGAAGAACTACTTTGAGGGAGCCATGTTAGATCATGTAGACAGGTCTGTTTTATAAGGAACATGCATTTTTTTGTAATAAAATGGTGTTTGCGAGATATGGGAAAACATTGAGAATATTGTGTGCATATTACTCCAGCAAACCCAGACTCCTCTGCCGAGACTGGGTATGTGCTCAAGACGTAAAGAATACTTTGAGGGATTTATATCATAGTGTGTGGCCATTTACAGAATGCAACAATTCAAGGAAAATTTGCGTGCAATTACAATGGGGCTGATTTAGTCTGCGGCCCTGTCCCACGTTCATCCATCCACCGGGACGGGCGAAGCGCTCTTTGATGTGCCCTGCAAGCGATGGGTACTGTGTGTGATTGATGTAATAGTTTGCTTATTATAGTACAAGTGATACTTCTAATTATATAGCACTTTACGCAACAGGACGGGAAGACGGGTGGACGGTGGCTTTGTGCTCATCATTAGAGCGTGAAGACCACAGTAAACAATAGGGTGCCGAATTGCCGTTCTCGACGGATCCCCGTACTCTTGCGTAGAGTGCCTAATGGTCGATATTGACTAACTGCAAATTCTGCTAATGAATGATTCCAAGATGAGGATGACATGTAGTTGTAAAGGGTTTCTATTGTATAGTTGTGAATGACGACAGGGCTCGTTTTAGTTGCCATATTAAATTTCATCCTCCACAGTGGCTCACATGAAGAATAAATGTACTTCACTATAAGCCTAAGCCTTAACTTAAAAATTGAACGGCTACATACTAGGGTGGTTCAGTCAATGAGAGATGACCAATAATGATGGAATTATTGAAGAGAGTTAAAAAAATAGGTCACACTTCAGCGTTACAGAGCAAATTCTGTTTGCAAAATTCTAAGGACCGGATGGATGTCTTGATTACTTTAAGTTTCTAGAAAAGCTTCAATATACCAGCGATAATAGTTTCGGGTTTAATGCATGGAGCCTACTGTCAGGAAAAATTTATTTGTGGCTTTGTGTGTTTTCTGTCGATTGTAATTACACGTTAAATGAATGCATTATCTTTTTTATTCCACCTGCATTGTCACCGTTGTTCGAATCTCCTTAAGTAACTTGTGGTACGTCAGAATAGGTAAGAGATGTACGAGACCTAAATGTTGGTCCGATTGTGCACCTACCTCTGAATTAGATGTCTTCTGAGAGGCAGGTGGTTTCTGAGGACAATTTTTTGGAACGTTAAAAAACGTGTGCGGTGCGAGAATTTTGGGCATGAAGTCAGCCAATGTGATTGATTCCAGCATCATACCTAATGGAATTAAGGATACGATTTGTTGAAAATGAATTATTAAAATGTCTTGAAATCAAAATCGAGAAAAGCAATACTAGATACCATACAATTATGAATTATTATATTGGAATGTCGCACTCATGCAATGTATATTAGTTTCAACATATGATTAAGAAGTACTTTCTAGAAAAGTCTGAACCAAGTTGCAAAAAGACAAAGAAATGTGTTTACAGAGCAAAGACCTATCACATGGGTACAGATTATTTTTAATGTATACATCAAAGATACTAGTATCTTTGGTATACATTAAGGAAATAATTCAGCAAACGCAACAAACGCAAAACGTTACCGTAATACTAATGTTGTGAATAATATTGTGGTTGGGTTATGTCGGAAAACGTTAACAACAACAACAACGTTTGCAAATTTATTTATAATTAGAAATTATGTTATTTGTTTTATAAAAATAAAAAGGTTTTGAACACCAAACTGCTACGCTACCATAACTTAAAATTGTTCATGTTAGCTGGAAAAGAACAGAAGAAAATGGCATACCATCTGTATTATAGGAATATATAGTTAAGTCGATTGGAATACAAGTATTGGTGACTGTCATGCTGGCGTTCATGCCTCCGTTTATTGTGTAGCGCCATTGATCTGCCTGCAAGACTCCCCCTATAACCATTTCTCCAATGTACGTTGCATTATCTTGTAAAATGAAAAAGTTAAGCATAGATGTAATTCAAATAGGCCTATATCTAATCCAGAACATCATTTGGCATACTATAGCTCATTCATTAGAATAATAATATTTATATAATATTTATATATATATATTATATATATAATATATATATATTCCCGCCAGAGGCATTTTATTACACAATTTCTTTATTCATTTATTTACATGACTACATTCGTTGAGAGCTATGCTACACGATGTATTATTATGTCCTTTATTCGAACACTGTATTTACCTTTCATTGATGATTTATATATATATAAATATATTATATATATATATATATACTGCTACTAACTACTACCAACCTGGAATGCATGGAGAACTCATGTTTCTGTCAACAGCTTCTGCGGTGCAATTTTTGTCAGTAATTACCCATCTTATCGACTGCAGGAGAGGGAATAATGAACATGGTCAATATATTTGGGTTATTATTATTATTATTATTATTATTATTATTATTATTATTATTATTATTATCATCATCATCATCATCATTTTTTGTGATAATAATAATAGTAATATCATTATTATTTATTGCTGATGAAACATTAGGCATTAAATAAAAGATACAATATGGACTAATGGAACTTAACAATAAAGCTTAACAACTGACCAATCCTAACAGGGCCAAGAACACGCGCGTGTCTTACAAACACACGTGTTGTCCACAAACGCGCGTGTACTGTCGATTTGTGGGAGCTCCAACAATCCAAGGGGCGCGGAAATGTCCATTGTAATATATTCATACCTTCTTGTAATCGGTAATAGTATGCTGAGTGACAGGAAATGTTCCCACTGACGTTGTAACGTTTATATTACTGATGGTTGCGTCCCTCTTGTTGGTATAGTCGTACGCGTACGTGGATATCCCCTTTGATAAAGTACCAACAGCCGTGGTTGTATTTAAGCCGCCAACATTCGCTATTGTCAGACCTGAAATTTTAAATTTTACTCATTATTTTGCCAAATAACGAACATCTTAATTCACTATCCTAATTTTATATGATAAACAGGAGTCAGATACCAATAATGGTTTTCCTATCCCGTTATAAATGAATTAACACACATAATTAATTAATACTATTAATACTATTATTATTATTATTATTATTATTATTATTATTATTATTATTATTATTATTATTATTATTATTTATATTGTAAACCGAAATGAAAGATGGGTGCCTGGTTTTTTACAGCAGATTTGGGTGATTGGTATGGGGTAAGGACACATAGTTTTTATATATTGAACAACGTAATCATGTGGTTAATTATGTCACAAGAGATCGAAAATCAACCCAAAAACATCACTATACTGTCATTAATGGTTTTCCTATCCCGTTATAAATGAATTAACACATTGTGTGGTCAGGTGTCTCTCAACATGTCTCGGAAGTAGTTCAGTGGTGTGAAGACCCCCAAGAGTAATTCTAATTTAATGGATTCACAAGCTTACCGTATTTAATCCGTTTAAACAAATAATTATATTTGTTTGTGTTTTTCTCCTAGACTAGGGTGTGGGAAGCTCTCAGAAAACAGGGGACACATAAAAAATTCCTATATAAATATAAACTATACTACTAGTTTTAATGCTTTTGAATTAACTACGTGAATTTGCAAAATATCTTCACCAATGGTTTGGTGTCTAATATATAATTTTCTTTAATCTTATTTGTTCGGTGTGTGTCATCGGCGTCTACAATTTACAAAAAAAGAGGAGAATAAAACAACAACTGACAATTAACATAAACAAATACAATCAAAGGAAGAAACCCACATTTTACGATCAGTCCCAACAATAAAGCGGCAAGAAGTTATAATAAATTACAAGAGCAGTTTTAACCAAGGGTGGCGCCAGCGGGAGAAAAGGGGAGGGGGGCCATGCCCCTTCCCCCCCCCCCCCACCTGGGGAGAAAAACTACAAAAAAAAATTATATGTATTTTCCACATATTTGTAGACTCTAAAATCGATTAAAATAAGCGTTTCAATCCCCTAAATTGTCCAAATGTTGGGGGACTTCGCCCCCTGGACCACTTTCAGGACATTTTAAGCGACGTTAGACCACGCCCACTTGCTTTCGTTTGGGAACATTCCCCTTCGTCTTGGCATTGGCTTCCCGTCGGGGACCTCGGACCCCCGTCGGGCAAATCCTGGCGCCACCTCTGGTTTTAACAAAAAATAAATGGTTCTCAGCCTCAGTTGAACATTTCGCTGGTGATTAATGACACAGTTTTAGTACTTAATCGAGTGTTTCTTGAATGGTACTTTACCTGAGGAACCTTGGTACTGTTTTGGCAAGCAGCACTTATTTTGGCCCCACGCTAATACATATACCGAACACAACAACACAACTACCTTCAACGACATCTCGCCTCCTCTGGAAACCTGAATTGTATTGGACAGAATCAGTAAATTATGATCAAGTAGATTTTGGTTCCAAACTCTACAATAACAGTAATTGATTATAAGCGTAGGCCTATTATTAAGCAAATAGAATCTTTATCAAAACCTGTTGTGCAGTTCGCAGAGATAAGACCATGGACCATGCTATCATACTGGGTGATGAAAATATCACAGCGCAGTGGTGGATCCAGGAATTTTAAATATAAGGTGTGGGGATGGACTTTCACTGATGGAGGGTCCTAAATTTAAATATAATTTTCTTCCTTTTTCCCTTTTTATGATTTCGAAAACTTTAGGGGGCGGGCAGGCTTCCAATCCTCTTCAAGTGAGCGAATATATATGCAAAGCTGACGTGACCATGGACGTGTGTGTATTAATTTGACCCATGTGTCTTTGTTAAATATTGATCTTTCTAGTTAAGTTTGCAATTTATCACAAACATTGAAACCATCCCTACTTTCGTCACCCTCTTGAAATACCAGCAGTACGATAGCGGAGCCAACAAGTGGAAAGGTCATGATTGGTTATGGTGCAGTATCAGTCCTATACGACTGGGTCGAGGGTAATATTTAATTTAAATTTTCATTCATTTGGCAGGGTTGTTAGGAACCTGAATTTGTAACGTTTTTACTTCTGAAAAATCAAGTAATCAAGTAAGTCATGTAAGTCAAATAAGTTAAATATGTTATAACTTCCAAGGAGATAGAATTTTCGCCGATTTATGAACATTTTAATACAAAAAAAGACGAGAAACAACAAGTTAAAACAATTTTAAAATAGCAAGAGTAAAAAATTCCATGATCAATACAAAAACTTAAAAATATGATTTATATTATCAACTGGTTGTTGTTGTAACTGGAATTATTATTAATATTTATTTTATTTTATTTTATTCCTGTAGGCAAATGGCCAAGGATTAACAACAGATAGTTAACTACTCCTTTACATGACAAACATAAACACATGATCCTTTTCATAAACAAGTATCATATCAGACTTTAGGGGAGTAGTTGTTTTGGTCGTGAGAAAAAATCCTGTTGCCGTGACATTAATTGAACTATGACTGAACCTAGGACCCAGGGATTCGAAATCAAGCTAACCACCAAGCTATTCAACTCCACTCCTATATAGCTTATTTTACTTCCAAGCTTTCGTTACTATCTCAGCAACTTATTAATTCGAATTACAATAACAACCTAGTGATATTATAAACATACCAAATATTTTTGGCATGATTTATAACATTATCAATAACAATTTCAGACTTTTGAAGTGTTTAAGCTATTTATTGTAATGTTTGTGATAGTATTTGGTTCCTTATGTTTCCGAGTAATTACTTTACAGCACAGTATTAATCTTATTTCAATTTAGCATGAATAAAGAATTAAAGTTCGCCCTCCAATTCTAGACTAACTTTGGGACCTGAAAATTTGGTGTGTCTTGGTATTCGGCCTCTTTAGTGGGTTAGCTTAGTGTTAATTAATAGATTGATTGTTATTTGGTTCTTTGAAAAAGTGGTATTGAATTAAAGGGGTCTCAGATGGTGCACTGTGTCTTATTCACGGTACAAGATTTTTCGACAACTCGCATGGTGGCGTAGTCTCTTATGTGTGATGTAATACATGCGCATGCGTAAAGAGAAGAAGTGCCTAGATGACTGGTGTTGACTGAGAATTCGTGTGTTCTATTTTGCGTTGTTTGCAGAAAGAAATAACAAAATACATTGCATCATTGTATCATTATGATTATAAATAAGACAAGCCTGTAGAGTGTAGTGCTAACTTTAAGCATACTTTCACGCTCAAAGATGGAAGTATTCTGTAAAAATCCGTTTTGGGTAAGTTATAAGCATCTAGGCTAGGCCTATCTATGCTTGTTTACAATTACGTACTACGGACACGGTGTAGATAGCCAGGCTATCGGGGCGGCGGCCTAGCATAGGCAACTAGCTAGGCCTAGTAGTAGTAGCCTAGAGTCTAGCGCCTGTTTTTCGTATGTCAGGCATAGGCAGTGTAGTCCTTTGGCTTAGGCTAACCTAATGGAGATTGTTGTGCCTACACCAATCCCAACTAGGCCTACTGGTGGTGCATTCGCAAATTTACAACAAAATGGTGAAATTGTAAGCTCTCTCCTGCTGGCTGACGCTAGGCCTGGCTAGTTCCTAGTCTGTCTAGAGTCTAGGCCTAGCCTAGGCTACAATACAGTAGACTAGAGAGGCCTATGTTATGACTGGCTTATGATATATGGGATTTACAGGGGGAAAGTTATTTATGCCGTGGCTAGAGATACGGTACCGTATTTCTACTTCAATTTGCTAAAGGTACGGTAAATGGAATTACGTCACCATCACCCAATGAAGTGCCAGAATGTGCGTGACGTCATTTTTCAAGACTAGCATTGCATTGCAGATCACCCGCGATGAGCGGTGAAACGAGAACGATGTACAGTACTGGGAAATTAGAACATCAAAAGTACAATATTGTTTGACTTTACTGTTATCGATAAATAGGCTTATGCTTCCACTTAGTAAAGAGTTTCATTTAGCTAGGCCTATGTATAACCATTATCAAACAAGGACTGATTGTACCAAACTCTTGGCATGCCTCTAGGCCTTGCTTAAATTCTTCGCTTGGCGAAAAATCTAAGCAAGCAAGGCCTGCTCGGCCTTGCTTGGGTTCTGCTTTTCGCAGCAGCAGCTCTGGTGACATTGATCTGAGTGGCATAGGCCCATATCATTCAAAAACTTTGAACTCTGAACTTCATAATCCCTACATCCCAAGTTTTAGTCCAAGAAGCTTGAAATAATCCCATGCTTTACAATCCCACCAAAATATTCATACAATTTGAATGCACAAAACTTTTCGTAGGGCTAGACTTCGTCACTGTTATGGTACAGAATCAAGGCCTAGATCGAGAGAATGAGTTTCCCCTTCGTGATTATTACTATTGAATCAAATTTTTCCAATAATTTTGATGCAGACCATAAAACAGTACTACGGTATATAAAATGCTAGGAGACCTTATGAATCTTCTTGTTTAGTATATTCAGTTTTTAGTGCTTGTCATGTCACAGGTGAGCAGTGTGTGCCAAGCGAAAAAATGTACTTGATTAGCAGATGATTAGCTAGGCATAGATCGAGTACAGTATATTCTTATAATACTGTCATAGAAAAATAGGCGTACCACTCAATAATAAGAGTCATGTCATTTATATAGCCTTATCAAGCAAAGCATCATCCTCAAACAATATTGTACTTTTGATGTTCTAATTTCCCAGTACTGTGCATGATCGTTCTCCTTTCACCGCTCATTGCGGGTGATATGCAATGCCAGTCTTCAAAAAATGATGTCACGCACATTCTGGCATTTCATTGGGTGATGGTGACGTAATGCCATTTACCGTACCTTTAGCAAAACGAAGTAGAAATACGGTACCGTATCTATAGCCACGGCGAATTATTTATGGCCTACTACCCAAATGTGAAATGTCATTTTTCAAATGTATTGAATACCTTTTTGCAATCTTCTTTCTGAAAACGCTACACATTCCACCAATCCTTCAATATTTAAAGAATTCAACATCCCTTTTTTTGAAAACCAAATCAAGTACCATTTTGTCTGCAACCTTGGGGAGATTGTCCAAATGGAATCTTACCCTCTTAACACCTCTCTTCCATCCCACCGCCATTGCCCTACATCTCTTCGCCACTCTAGGCACTCTGAATTCCTACATATCGCATGTCGAACTTCTCGTTTTGCTTCATCTTTCCTTCCATACTCCTTGAAACTTACATATTCCATCTCTATTGATCCATCCCTGATTTGCCCCTCCACTGTCAAACTATTCCTCGACCTGTAATTCAACAAATATAGTTCTTTCACATTTGATATAGGCCTAGGCCTATATCAGTGTGTTCTTTTGTGAATTTTGTAACATTTTGTGCACGTTTTTAGCAGATATTGGCCCATGATGGCTTTCAAAGTAATAAAAGAAATTGAATTGAATTGAATCTTACAATTCTAAGATTTATTTTTCCAGGATCCGGATTTACTAAATTCTTCAACACCAGATGTTTCCGAGTGTTTTCAGGAGACTGTGTTGGCATGGATTCCTTGTTTTTATTTGTTTCTTGTGTCACCATTGTATTTTTACTGCCTCAAGAAAAACAACAAAGGTTACATTAAACTATCACTTCTTCATGTTTTGAAGTCGGTAAGTTTTTATTCACACTTATCATGTTTTCAAAGATATATTCAAATATCAAAGTAAATCATTTAATAAATTGTGTAAATTAATGTAAAAACAACAAAAGTTACATCAAACTATCACTTCTTCATATTTTGAAGTCGGTAAGTTTTTATTACACTAATCTTGTTTTCAATAATGCAGTATATTCATATATCATGTAATCATTTAATAAATTGTGAAAATTAATGTAATTGGTATTTAGATGTTTTCATTATAAAACCAATGGCCACAAATTTGTTTTTCTATGAGGTTGGGTTAAAATTCCTAAGGAATTGCACAGCATTTGAGATTTTTTTTTTTACTCTGAAACACCCCAAAGTAGTTGTGTCATCCAGTCCCAACTGACTCAAATTTAAAAAAATATAGGGTTGTCTTTTTAAGCTGGATATTTTTACCCAGATGGAGCCCAAAATACTCTATCTGTACAGCAGCCCAAAATACTAACTGTACACTGATAAATGTGCATTTATTTCATTACAACTGGAAATACTTTGAGTGGATGCATACTGTATGAATTAATGTATTGCATGACAAGGGACTATAACTCCAGTTTTATTTTCTTCAGGTTACATGTGCCATACTGATTCTACTAACGTTGATTGACCTCCTGAAAGGTGTATCAGATTATGCAGATGAGAATGTTACACCTGTATATATATTCACACCTGCATTATTATGTGTGACAATGGTAAATAATAACATCATCATTATGAATTTGATGTCACAATAGTAATGTATTTTATGATTCTAATGTTTACCAAATTTTCTCTAGAAATCTAAAAAGTATAACCTGCCAATGTTATTTCTATATTTCTATAATATAGAGATATCAGAGGTAAAGGTAGTCCTGTATTCATTGCTGAATGTAGGGGAATGAACTATTAGAAACCCATCATACTAAGCGTCAGTATTGTGTGATAGGGTGGCCAATACCTTTCCACGCCGCCTTGGTGATACTATATTATAATTTTTAACAGAGAAAAGTTTTTTATTTTACTGTTTGGTTGCACTACAGTGCCTAGTACTTATCATCCCTGTGATGGGTCAAACCAGAATATAGAAACGGATGAGAGCCTAATTTGTAAAAACGTCACTCCACCAGTTATGCCACGGAAGTCACAATCGTTTTCATGGAAGTACGCTCGCTCTGCTCTAGTCTAGAGGAAATGTATCTGCATAATTGCATTAACTATTCACTAAATTTCCTAATAAATATTTGGCCATTAAATGGTGTATATACTTATTGTCACATGGTATTTAAGTACACCAATCAAATGATCTATTTAGGTGTATAAAGAATAAAAGAAATAGAATCCTGTAGATAAAAAAAAATAGACTTAAATTAATCTAAGATGGATATGGCTTTTGAATACATTTATTTTTTTTAAATAATTATGATGGTAGTCTTTTTAAGGCGGTAGATATTTCTCCGGTTTATTTTATTAACTGCTTGGTCTTGTCTACCAGCATTAGTATTATTATTATTATCTAGGTTTTTAGTTTTTATGACTTGATTAAATACAGTATGTTTACTTTCTTTGGAATTCGCTCCTACACTCATTGAAAATGGGTTCTTTTGTAGCTTTTAAGGAAGTTATCATTTAAAATTAAATGTTAGGAGTATAATCATTGTTTGTAGGTATTGTCATGTAGTTTAATTTCTTGAAAGAGAGTCCCTGAATAGCAGCTGACCTCTTCGGCTTAGCTGGAAGGGCAGCGTTCCCAAGTCTCCTGCAATTCGCTGTAGTCTCTCGGAAACAAAAGAGTTGAGAACAGCTTAGCTCAGTGAGAGCAGCTTAGCTCAGTCAGCTAAACTGGTGGTAGCCACTGTGTGTGTGCTGAATCGTGGAGATCTCTAGGTCCCCGGTTCAATTCCTATCGCTGCCTCTCCTTGTTATAATAGCGCACCGTCTTTGGGATGAGACGTTTAAGCTGTTGGTCCCGTGTGCATTTATGGCCCATGTGCACATTAAAGAACACAGTACACTCTTCGGAAAAGAGTAGGGGATTGTCTCCCGGTGTACTGCCCAATCACCACAAGAAGGACCCCACTGGAAATAAGTCTTCCAGACTTTCGTGGGCTATCCTTGGTGTTTACACCGAATAAATCTAATCGAGACGTTTTCCCACATTCCCGTAGGAAGCAAGAATCTCCTAGAAAATAACCCATTTCCTGCAGATTCATGATATTTGCATGTTTTCATGTTTTATTTTTTATCATTAGCTGTTCCCTCCAATTAAAGACTCCCTATATTTAGAGACCAAAGTCCATGGTTTTGGCAGACCCAAATGAACATTTTCCCTTTAATTAAAGATCATTATAAAATATATCGATATTAAAATACAATTTTTTCTGTAATAAATTTTGTTATATATGATTTAAACGTAAAAATATTAGCCAATGCACGAAATAACATGTTTTGTGTATATTGAATAACGAAAGTAGATGTTAGTTATTACTGTAATATTAGGCACTTTACGCAACAGGATGGGAAGACTGGTGGACGGTGGTTTTGTGCTCATCAGAGCGTAAAGACCACAGTCAAAGAATAGAGGGCGCTTAATCCAAATTGCCGTTCTCAACGGCTCCCCGTCGTCTTGCGTTAAGTGCGTATTTTGATGGAGTTTGGTAGAACGAGTACAGGACTTCATGTCTGACTACCATAATATATTTTATCAAGAACAAGCAGCCTGAGAATAAGTAAGCTAATGCACATTTTAAAACATAGAATGTATTATTTCTTAATTTCACTCTAAATAGAGAAATCTAAAGTCCACATTTAGTGCCCAGGGTTCCCAAAGTCTCCCGCAGAGTCCCAGGATGGAGTCTCCTGGAATCGGCAGGTAGCCTCCTGCACTCCTGCGAAGAATCATCAGGAAAGTAAATCAACTCCCACAAATTAACGATATTTGTATGTTTTTACTGCTGTACTAATGTATTATCAATTGTCTCCCGGAAGTCAGTGCCTGTGGTTATCACCATGCACAGAAAAATATATGTAGAACTCATTAAAGCAGATTTCACACATGTGGATTCTTCCAACTTGGGAACCCTGGAATTGTCAGCCTCTTTAAATATGTGAGGTCGGACCACAAAATGAGATGCATCCTTGGTGAAATCATATTGCGATATTCACCAAAACAGGCCAAAGTCAATATTTTTACAAAATTTTGATTTTAATGTTTTTAAATAACTTGATACTCATATTTTATGATTGTATACTTTGTAAGCAAATTTTCTTGCCAAAACAATGTTCTCTGCACGTATTCTGTAATTCTAGTCATATTATTTGTACAGGTTAGTTTATCTTTCAGATCGATTTTCTCAAAACGTGGTTCTTATACACCTAAACTTTAAATGCTCACATCTCTGGATTTACTTATAGTAGGGAAGCCATTCAAAGAGTAGACCAAATGAAAGCTTATAATGTGATCTACCCAAATATAATATAAACTAAATTTTTGAATTTCTAACCATGAGACTCATTTTGTTGCGAGACCTCACATATGGTTTAAATATAAAAAGTAAAATTAATTAAAAAAAAATTCTACCATTCCCAGTGCCATTAATACTGCACCTCGCTCAATTAGGTGCAAAAAATAATTATCATTTCCTGTGTACTTATTTTAAATTATTTGTGTACTATGGACAAGCAAAACCAATGTTCAGTATAACTGACAATTTATATAAGATATTTTTACAACTGTATTGTACTGACTAACGAACACTTATTTAGGCGAGACTTCCTTATATCTTGTTAATTAGCTTTGTTAAAATGCTTGCAACACTATCAAATGTTATGTGATTAATTTGCATGATGTGCCCATATATGGCATGGCAGGGTCGGATTAGAATTTTTTAATTACATGATAATAACTGGTTTTTCACTTTCAGATTTGTGCATTTGTTGTAATTCAAGATGAAAGAATGAAAGGTCAAATGTCATCTGGAGTCATGTTTGTTTTCTGGATTTTGGCTGTTGGTTGTGGTGTTATAGAATTCCGCTCAAAAATTATTCAGGTATTTTATTTCTAAAATTTCATTTTTTATTTGACCGGTAACTCGGTGAACATTTCTTCACATAGATTACTACAAATTAATACACTACTTCTTAGGAGTAGATTTTATGAAGTAAGCTTGAATCAGTGGTGGCGCCAGAGCAGCGGGGGACCCCGTCTTGCGATGAAATGACGAGGTCGTCGGATCAAAAATTTAAAAAAATAATATTTTACCCATCCAAGTAATACTATATGAATTTCCAATCGCTAATACTGTAGTCTAAAAAACCTCTCAACCCTACCAGGGTCTTGGTAGGCCTCTTGGTTCAGACTCCTCTGTCAGATGTCAGACCCCTTTTTCTGGAGCCACTACTGGCTTAAATCAGCTAGAAAATTGTTTATAATTATTATTCATATTATTTTGCAGGATACTGGTGATACATTCCGCTATGTAACTTTTTATATGTATTACGTGTTTCTGATTGTATCTCTGGTGTTGTCGGCCTTCTCAGATCACCTTCCACATTACTCGCCTGTCTCTCCAGACACAGTAGGTTATAATTTGCTTTTACACAATTTATTGATAGTTGCCATAAAAAAAAGAACATACAACATTGTTATTGCTGAATGAATACTACTGTATATGTACTTGGTTATAATTTGACCCAATACTCTATTATTAATAACCAATATTCTAATTCTAACACCATAGAAATTAACAAGTGGTTAGTGACGGGGGTGGACTTAGGGGCAGGGGGGATAGCTTCCCCCACCCTTTTTGGAAAGTAAAGAAAAAAAGAAAGAAAGAGAAATTATTGATCACCCAAAACACCTCAGATGTCATTTCTGGGCCTTTAGAAAACAAAAATTATGTGGGGCATACCCCCGGAACCCCTTAGGGCAGTGTCATCTCTCGATTGGCCACCCCCTTTAGACATGTATCCACCCCTGAGTGACCCAGGATGTATATCAGCGGTTTTTGGGGTAAGACAGCTAATCAATTTTATATATACTGTATAAATATTTATCACTTTTCCCCTAGAATCCATGTCCAGAGAAGACAGCCTCATTCTTATCTCGCATCACCTTTTGGTGGTTCACCAGGTATATTGTAAAACTATGTCAGTCTTAAAATTTTATTGTTAATATTATATAGTAATTGATATGTTAAATTTATGTACTGGTAGTAATAAAATGTTAGTTCTATTTAGTTGTAAAATACATACATTGGCTACAATGTAATTTCATTGAATGAATTCTTGAATGCATGAATGAATGCCAAAATGGCCTCATCTCATTATTACACCAGTCATCAGATCTCTGGGCAACCTTTGCAATGTAACACATGAACAGTTGGGGTTAACACAACATGTCTATCACTAATAGAGTGGGCAGCACATTTTCCTACTGTTTTTTTATTTATTTTTTAAAAATTTTTATGAACTAATTCCAGCTGAATTCCCAGTTGCAGTTAATTGTGATTTAACTTCTCTTAACAGTCTGGCAATTCAAGGCTACAAAAGAGCACTGGTGAGGGCAGACTTGTGGTCGTTGTTAAAGCGTGATGAGGCTGGCACAATTGTCCCTCGCTTTCTTAGGAAATGGAGGAATGAGATATGCAGGTAATGATTTTATGAATTTATATGTCATTATATGTATTTTTTAATATGTTTTTTGAGCAAATAAAACCATTTTGGTGATAGGAACTTGTTTCTCCTTCGTCTGACCCCCCCTGCTCTGAAGGTTTTGTACTATTGATGTCTTATTTGAGTTGCAGAACTGGAGCGAAGTGATGATCACCATCGCAACAAAAATTGAAATACCCATTTTATTCTTCCCTTGGCAGTGTAAAAGGGGTATTATTAGTATTATCATCTAGGATTGGAAGGCAAGCATCCCACCAAGCTATGCAACTCCACTCCGAAAAAATTATAATGTAATCAAATTATTGTGTGCACATATTTGTAGTTGAATCATTTTGTTAGCAAACCAACATTATTGTTTTTTTTTTATTTTTGATCAAATCCTAGGACTGTGAAGAAAAGAAAATCTAAAGAAACCAGGGAAAGAAAAAAGTTTGTGGTGGTCAAACTGGATGAAGATCCTCATTTGAATGCCAAGAGTGGGGGCGCTATGTCAACCAAGACAGAAGTTGCGGATGATAGTTACGCTGAATGTCATGAGCTCACAGATTTCTTTGGTCGACCAGTTGATCACAAAGCCTCGCTGTTGAAAAGCCTGGTTAAAGCATTTGGTGGATGGTTTTTATTGGGGGCTGTGTATAAGTTCATCTATGATATTTTGCTTTTTGTTAGCCCACAGATTTTAAGGTTAGTATTACAGTATCTGCATTGGTTGCAATGTTCAACAGTAGATAGTTTTAGAGATTTTCCTCATTAACAAAATTTCCCAACTGACATGTCTGATCTTATAAGCAATTGCAAAATAATAAGTTCACCACAGCATTAATTTCAAAACGTTTGGATGAATAAAGTGATGTCTGTGTCTATCTAATAATCAATTACTCAATAAAAAATAAACCATAATATTTATAATGTTAAAAATAGTTATTATGATAAGTAGTTGTACTTGGATAGTGAACTTAATCACTTTACTAAAAGTTGCATTTCTTTCACAAGATAAAAATTTTATCAAAGTGCTCAAAGTCTTATATGAGTCTTAGTGAGTGGAGGTGTTTTTGTTTGTTGCCATGACAGGAAATGAAACCAGGTGCTGGGTTTGGAAGGCAAGCATCATATCCACAAGGTTAAAGCTCTACACCAAATTAATAGTGATAATGTTTCTTTCAGATTACTAATCATATACACACTTGACAAGAGCATCTACGAATGGCAAGGCTACGTGTACGCCATCAGCCTTCTCATCGTCGGTATCGTTCAATCTTTGTTTTTACATCAATACTTCCATATATGTTTTGTTACTGGAATGCATCTGAGGACTGCCATCATCGGTGCTGTTTACAGGAAGGTAATTGAACGTTCCAGTAAGCTCCGCCCCATGGAATTTTCCTTAGATCACACAAAATGACAAAAACTTGTGTGGGCGGTCAGCGTTAGAGCCTTCCACAGTTAAATAAAACATTGAAAAGTGCTTTTAAACCAATAAAAAAAATAATACAAATATAATAATCTTCAATGCATAAGTTTGAGATGTTCTATATATTTTTATTTTGATTGGTAATTTATTGTAGTTTAAATGTAGTTTAAGGTTTTTATAATATTTTTTATAATTAGCTTTTCTCCTTTTATCAATCCTTTTATCAATTTTGCCTTAACTAATCTCAATAAATATTCTAAATCAATTATTTAATCAAATTGCATATTCAGTAATAATGTTATATTTTTCTAAATTTATATTTTTGTATTATTATCATGTAAACACCTTTGAATAAGAATATTCATGAAAAGGGTGATATATAAATAATTTTTATTTTTTTTTAATAGTCTCTTGTACTTAGTAACAGTGCTCGCAAGACCGCTACTGTCGGTGAGATTGTCAACCTGATGTCCGTAGATGCCCAACGGTTCATGGACTTGATGACCTATCTTAATAGCATCTGGTCATCCCCGCTCCAAATTATTGTGTCCCTCTACTTCCTATGGGGTGTGTTAGGACCATCGGTGCTTGCAGGTGTTGGTATTATGGTCTTACTGGTCCCGCTAAATGCTTTCATTGCGACCAAGTCCAAGAAATTGCAGGTACTGTATGTAGGTGGTGATGGAGCCTTTATGGTCTTTTTGCCGCTAAATGAATTGCTGGCAATTAAGTTTAAGAAATGCAAATATGATTATATGATTATGTTCAGTACTGGTAATGATGAATTGCTCTCCTACTTTGAAAGGGAGTGACGGTTTTGGACTAAAGTAATACATGGAAATATGTTGAAAAATGAATGAATAAATGAAAAAATAAATAAAATTAAAAAAATAAATACAGAAATGCGAAAAGTAATTGTTTATTTTGCTTTTGTATTATAGGTGAAGCAAATGGCGTTAAAAGATGCACGAATCAAGCTGACAAACGAGGTGCTAAGTGGTATTAAAGTTCTGAAATTGTACGCCTGGGAAGAATCATTTGAAGATAAGATCAAAGACTTAAGAAATAAGGAGTTAGTATATTTGAAGAAGTTTGCATATCTGAATGCTGGGACTACCTTCACATGGACTTGCGCCCCTTTTTTGGTAAGTACAAGTTGTGTCTTTTAACAAATGCTACGTTCAGACCTGAGATATCTGTGCCGTAACTAGCGAGATGTCCAGACTGGGCGAATAATGAATGCTAGTGTAAGTATTCGCGTGAAATATTTGTATTCGTAATCGCGCATTTTATTTCCTGTTTACATCTAGGCTTATTGTGATTAGTGAATTCCTGGCCGAGTTCAAAATCATTGATGCGTGACCGTCATAACTCAGTGGCATGCGCTAATCTGGGGTCTGTTGGTAAATTATCGTACGCCAGTGGTTGCGCGTTAATACTGGCATTTCGCTATGCCGCGCACAAGTTCGAACCACTTGATTAACGTTAAGCTAGCGCAAGTCGCTGCGTCTCAACATAGCCAAAGTACTCTTTTAATGTCTTTATAAAATACTTCTCAAGGTTTCTGTATTATTATATTAGGTTTGAGCATTGGTACCGTGCTCAAGCAGGAAATGAAAACCTAGTGGGGATATTGGAATCGGCTACTTTCAGTTTGCAGTATGTACACTCAGACAGTTGAGCAAAAACGTGGGAATCAAAGCCTTTGTGCAACAACTGCCATGGTTTAGATCCATCTACATAGTTTGATAGTTTCCTCGCTCACATCACAAACTAATGATTAGTTCGTGGAAACAAAAAAGTGCTTTAAAATAAACACTGTTGCTGAATTCTCCGCTCTTTTTCGAACTGCTCCTTTCATCAGTTCCTTTAAGTCCAATCTCAAGACATTCCTCTTTCACCAACATTTTGATAATAATAATTACTGCAGCAGACTTTTTTTTTTTGCTATACTTTATGTAATGTGTATTATTTCTAATTTTGTTGTTTTTGTCTTATACAGGTATCTTTGTGTACATTTGCTGTTTATGTTCTCGTTGATGATACCCACGTTCTAGATGCTAAGAAAGCTTTTGTTTCACTGTCGCTGTTCAACATACTTCGTTTTCCATTGATCATGTTTCCCAACATAATTTCCAACATTGTACAGAGCAGCGTGTCTCTTCGACGTCTTGAACGATTTTTGAAACAGGATGAGTTGGACTTGAACAGTGTTGAACACTGTGATATGCCAGGTAAGCATAAGATAATGCAATCTAACTTTTGTATGAAAAGAGATTTTGCTTCCTAAAATTTTTACTGTATGCATGATGAAAAGAAATGAGGATATCTTCTTGATGTTTTGTGTTATTATTCAACACCCTGAAGTGGATGATTCTATTTTATTGTTTTTGTTGTTACTGTTGCTGTCCTTGTTGTTTTCAAAGACATGTTTCAGTTTGGAAACTTTGTCAATTGTTGGTTTTGTCAATATGGAGTATATGAACTATCCATATTCAGGGGCGTATCCAGAAATGTCCAAAAGTAGAGGCCAAAAGTTGGGTCGATCGAGACAACATTGTCCTAGGGGGTCCAGGGCATTCCCCCGCAAACTTTTTGTGTTCTAGATGCCGGAAAATAACATTTGATGTGTTCTGGGCTATCATTTTTTCTTTTTCTTTCTTTTTTTCTTTTTCTTTCTTTTTTTCTTTTATTTTTCTTTTTTTAACCTCCCAAAAGGGGGCCCGTAAATCCGCCCCTAAAATTGCCAGGGTTCTGACGAGCATGTCACGGTGCCTGTCAGCAATCAAAGGGGAGGGGGTGGGGTGTCCACAATTTCTGTTTATTGTGTACTTTAGTACACAATTGCTATATCCCATTTACATGTAGTAAATACTTTATTTGTTGACATGCTTTTAAGGTCAAGCAGTTGTTGTTGATAATGCTACCTTCAGCTGGGGTAAAGATGATGATCCCAATTTACAAGAGTAAGTTTGATTTCTTAATTACAGTACTGCTTTATATTAAAATGCCTTAATATTTAAATTAATGTGTAGTTTATAATTCTACTTTTAAGTACTTGAGTGAGGAGGGTGCTTTTAATTATTTTAACTTATATGATTGTATAATTATAATGATTTCTGCTTTTATACTTAGATTAATGTATATTTTATACATTAATGTACTTGCTGTAATACTGATGTTGGTTTACTTTAAGTGCATTTGGGCTCTCAATCTTATATACTTAATTTCAGCATTAATTTAGATGTGCAAGAGGGTGCCATCATCGCTGTTGTTGGAAAAGTGGGTTCTGGGAAGTCATCACTTATTTCAGCAATGTTAGGAGAAATGGAAAAGACAAAAGGAAAAGTCTTTACTAAGGTAGGGGGCAAAGTGCGGCCCGACAGTGATTTTTTTAAGAAAATGAATTATACCTGTATATGTGCTACCTGCAACCATCTTTGGTTAGAAAACACCTTTGTTCTTTACGGCCCAACACCGACCATCTGAGCATAAAGCGGTATAAAAGCAGTGAATAAAGCTTTTTGGAAGCGTACTGCAAACATCAGAATTTGGGTGCGGCCCTCAGTGTTAAAGCAAAAATTCACTTTGGCCCTCTGACCCATTTTTATGCCACCCCTTTACCATTTTTGTTTAAATTTGAGAAGAATGGAACACTGATACTCTACATATCAATCCATGTCAATTTTTTTTTAAAGGGTTCTACAGCATATGTCTCACAACAAGCATGGATACAGAATGCTACGTTGAGAGACAACATCTTGTTTGGACGTAACCTGGAAGAGGTCAAATATCATCGCATTGTTCAAGGGTGTGCTCTAGCAACAGATTTTGATATGTTGCCAGGCGGTGATATGACAGAGATTGGTGAAAAGGTGATTAATCATGTTATTCTTGTGCATTTTATTATTTTTTTCTGATTATTCTTCTAAAAGATGTGTTCACATCGAATTAATTTTGATCAGGATAAAAAAATCTGCGTTGGTCAAATTTTGGAAACATTTCGTGAAATGTTAAGTGGTATTAGGGAGCTTTCGATTCGTGCGACGATGTGAAGCTAGAACGGATTCACTTAGGCATGACTGTCTTACACTCCCTGCATAACCTCCTCTCTTTATAAACATACTAAACATTTTCTCATCTCAATTAAGTCATAAGTATTTATACAGTGTATTTAAATGGTTACTGCTAATTATGTATATTCCTCTAGGGTATTAACCTGAGTGGTGGCCAGAAACAACGAGTGAGCCTCGCCCGAGCAGTTTATTCAAATGCTAACATCTACTACTTGGACGACCCACTGAGTGCTGTCGATTCTCATGTTGGAAAGCACATCTTTGATCATGTGATCGGTCCAGATGGTCTGCTTAAGAATAAGGTAATCAGAGCAGGTGTACAATCAGTTAAGCATAAACAGATGTACAGATATACGTGAACATAAATACATGTGTAGGGCTACGTTCAGGCTTAGAGATAAGCCAGGCTTGAGTTAAGCCCGGCTCAAAGTTAAGCAAGGCTTAACTTTGCCGGGCGTTCAGACTAGCAGGTTTAGCCAGACGAGAATTTGCATAATAATGAACCGTAACCAGAAAACATGTTTCAAAACATTACTCGCAAAACGTACGCTCGCTCACAGCGTACGTAATTGAATGCTGATTGGTCATATCGTCACCCGAAGTCAATGCAAGACCCCTCCGCAACGATTAAAGCCCGGCTTAGAAAAGTTAAACACGGTTGCGCGCCAGGCCTAGTTACTATAGGAACACAGCCCAGCTTGAGATAAGCCACCTAGTTCAGACTGGCAGGTGGATAAACCCGTTGTTGAGCCGGTTTTATCCACCTAGTCTGAACTAGGCCTAATATTCACATAGACAGGTGCAAGAATTAATTTACATAACATTATATTTGCATGCAGATGTACAGCAGCATAAATGCAGGTAAACGTAATAATATGGTTATCCATTATCAATTTTTTTTCTTTTTAGACACGCATTTTGGTAACCCATGGCATCAGTTTCTTGCCTCAGGTTGATCAAATCGTTGTACTTGTTGACGGACAGGTGTCAGAGGTCGGATCATACACTGAACTACTTGAGCAAGAGGGCGCCTTCTCTGAGTTCTTGAAGAATTACAGTTTAGATGCTGAGAAGGAGAATGGTACAGAAGATCAACCAACAGGTTTGAATCTAAGTCAGACTATCAAATTTTACTCAAGACCATATATAGGCATATTCCGAATATGGGCATACAACAGTTTTTTGTCAAATAAAATTTTATAATCAAGTTCAGAGGTTTATAGTAATTATAATTGTTTGCATATGAAGAACTACTAGAGAAAGGAACAAGCTGGCAAATAGTGATAATAATATATATGTGTTTGCTCGCGCCATCTATACACATCTCAGAGCACTGTTTGTAGTGTACATGCAGTAATAACAAAAAAGCAATAAGCCTACCTAATCCTGTTGCTAACCAAACTGAATATTTATTGGCAGTGTTGTCACTACATAGTGAAGGACTTGAAGTTGTTAAAGGAAGATCAGATGAGGATGAAAGATGTCTCTCCATGTTGTCCGTCGGTGATGAATGTGGAAAGAGTTCTGACAACATTGACAGAAGGTAGGTGGTTTTCAGGGGTTTAGCCAGAAAAACAAAATAGGCCGTCCAAAATGGAAGCCAGTGGGCGTGGCACTGAGCCGATGGGCAGCATCTTTGGCAATTCCCACCGAATGTTGAAACGAAAACAACGTACATTCAATCAATAAATGTTGTTGTTATCAAACTTAAATATGATTTAGCTTTAGTTTAATGTAACATTCTATAAATTTGAAGAATATAAAGAATTTGCTAAAGGTAGACCAGGCCCAATTAGGCTAGGCCGAACTGATTAGGCCAAACCGTCCAAGCCGTCATGGTAAAAGTGGCCGTCTTAAATAACTGTAGTCCGTCCAAAAGGTGGCCGGACGGCTCGCTGGCTGGTGGTTTTGTTACCTAGGTTTGAAGAGAATATCATTGGATTGAATTTCTTCGGTGTGATACACACCAAGGATAATCCATGAAAGTCCTGAGACTGTATAATATCTTTTCAGGTTGACCTATGACACAGTATCCCAGTTGGATTCAATATCCATTGGCAGGCAAATTCCTCTTGCAAAGTACAAAAAGATGGAGGAATTGAAGAAGGTTGCCATGGATAACAAGGAGGAAAAATTGATTGAAAAAGAAAAAACAGAAACAGGAAAGGTGAGTTAGGCTACTGCTACCACTATTACTGCTGCTACTTATGCTGCTACTGCTGCTGCTTATGTTGCTACTGCTGCTTTGTATGTAGCTACTGCTGCTGCTTATGTTGCTACTGCTGATGTTTGTTGCTACTGCTGCTGCTTATGTTGCTACTGCTGCTGCTTATGTTGCTTCTGCTGCTGCTTATGTTGCTACTGCTGATGTTTGTTGCTACTGCTGCTGCTTATGTTGTTACTGCTGCTACTTATGTTGCTACTGCTGCTGCTTATGTTGCTACTAGTACTACTACTGCTGCTTATATTGCTACTTCTATTCCTTATGTTGTTGCTACTACTACTGCTTATGTTACTACTTCTGCTACTGCTGCCCTGCTACTGACTGAATTTAAATTATATTATTTTTGTATTTAGGTGAAATGGTCCGTGTATACAACATACCTGAAGTCTGTAGGTTGGCCACTTTCAATCCTAATCTTAATATTCTACCTGTTGTCGAATGCTGCCTCGATTGGCGCCAATCTGTGGTTGAGTCACTGGAGTGATCAACCAGTGATTGATGGTGTCAACGATGCCAGTAAACGTGATATGTATCTTGGTGTGTACGGTGCTCTGGGCTTCGCCCAAGGTAAGATATCTCTCCCTACACTATTACAGTGCATACATTTTTTATCATTTATTATATTATTTATTATTATTTACTTATTATTTATTTATTTTTTTATTTTTATTTTTTTTTTTTTAAGCAATGCTTTAATTATTTTTTCAATCATTAACTACAGAACAACATAAAGTATTTGTATTACTGTCAGCTATAAGGGACATCAGTCATAATAAATTACAGTAAAAATACTGGTTAATTTATGTAAATATTTATTTCATCATGAAACACAATGTCAATATTTTGTTAAATGAAATCTCATGAAGTTTCATATGCATGTATGTGAGACATGTGTATGTTTTGTACAGTATGCATGTGTATTATTATAGTTTTATTATTTCTTGTAAAAAGACATTTGTGGCAAAGACCAGTTACTCTTCACAAAAGTCGATTTTATTAATACAGAACTCAACATTATAAAATGCTGAAAGAATCATTGAAATCAGATGTTTCGTTGTGAAATGACAGGGGTTTAAACATACAGCTGTGTAATTAATAGTATTTTGAAAATCAACAATACATTTACAATTAATTAATCAATTTACAATTACAATTTACAATTTTGTGGAATTCTCAGACAGAGACCATCACCAAATTTTTTAAAAAAAATGTTGTTTTAACGTCGAAAATTGAGAAAGTAACAATAATAAAAGAGATTTCGAAAATGTTGACATTTCATCATGTTTTTATCTCCTAAAATATGATTTGCGAGAAGTGATTGGTTTGGCTTGTCTTCACCACATTTTAAACATTTGTTTGGAATGAAATAATGTAGATTTGAAATTGTACTGATGACTTCTTCCCACAATACATAGGGTTCCTGACTCTAGGCTCATCAATAGCAGTAGCAATAGCAGCTCTAGCTGCTGCTTACAAAGCTCATCAAAGACTCCTGCTCCAGGTTCTTTACGCTCCAATGGCTTTCTTTGACACCACGCCCCTGGGCCGTATTCTGAATCGCTTCAGCCGTGACCTGTACATGATAGATGAACTCACTCCTCGTAATTTCTCCACCCTGTGTCGAACGTTCATCTCGGTACTGTCCATAATGATTGTCATCAGCTACACGCTACCCCTATTTATTGCCGTCATCGTACCCCTATCTTTCCTCTACATTTTCATTCAGGTATTATAAGAAACAGAATTGTATTATGTGTACTCATTTTAGTCTTCCATCTGGCTTATATAATACAGCTTTATATATAGTTTTCTATGCAAATATATTCAGTAGAATGTTATTTTAATACTCTGTTATTAAACCTCTTCTGTCATTCTCAGTATATTCATGGTGGCATATTTTATTAGTGTGTATAATACTAGTAATAATTGTGCTCTCTTCAGGTGCAAATACTATTATCAGCATACTTCTTTATGTTGGCTTGCTTTTTAGTTGGAAAGTTTTATATGCTTACCATGGACACTCTTCATCCATGGCCAGTTTGAAATTTTGAGGTAAAAGTCACAGATTTAGGAGGTTTGTTGGAGCTAAAAGTGAGTCGTTAATTTTGATAATGAACTTATTATAGTGCCCTCTAGGAGCTAAGGTTATTCAGTTATTTTGGAAGGTGCTCTACTAATATCCTATCATTGCTATAGTATATTAGTGGTTGCCTTGGTAGTGTGAGCAACCATAAGCTATATATACCTATCATCATCATTATTTAGTATAGATTCTTTTCAGTGTAAATATTTGCATATTCATATTTGCATATTCAAATTTCCATATATTTGGATATTCATATTTGCATATTTATATTTCCATATATTTGCATATTGATATTTCCATATATTTGCACATTCATATTTGCATGCATTTGCTTATTCATGCCCTAGGTACAGTACTTTGCCTTTAAACATGTTTCTCTGTGGATATATATTTGCATATTCATATTAAAGTATATATTTCCATATTCATGAATATATTTCCATATTCCTGCATCTCATAGTCAGTGTGTGAAGTGACTTATGTGGCAGACAGTTAAAACCCCTTTTGATTGTGGTAAATTAATAATGATAATATATTTATTTCCTCAAATATAGGAGGAGGGTGAAGCAAAGCATGAACAAGGTTCCTAAACAAAATTTGGCACCTCAAACACAAAACATAAACAAAAATTTCTATATATTAGAACACAACTTGTATTGTTTTGTTGCAGCTCTTTTCGTGATTGTACTGGCATTAAGCACTGCTATCGGCTCCCTCCAAGCCTCTCGTAGACTCCACAACTTCCTGCTTCGTCATATATTTCATTGGCCAATGAGGGTGTTTGACTCCACTCCTCAAGGCCGTATCTTGAATCGTTTCAGTAAAGATGTATATGTAATAGATGAGAAATTACAAGAAATAATCTCAGACTTGTTTTCCTGCGCCTTCGAAGTGCTTCAAATTCTTGTAGCAATTAGTATTACCACGCCGATATTCGATGCTGTGCTTCTTCCAATAGCCTTTTTCTATTACCTTATTCAGGTTGGTCTATTTGGTTTTTATTTTATCAAATCATCTATGTTAACTTTTATATATTTTGACTTGCAAGTCTTTGTTGATTGGTGTTAATGTTTTGCACTTTTATTTTTCCATTCAACTTTGTGCACGTTATTCAAAATTTCAGCTGCATAACCCAGCTTTTCACTACTTTGCTCTGATTTTGCTTTTGTAATTGTTTTTAGTTTTCTGATCTCCCACAGCCCTCTCCAGACTCACCCCACCACTGTCTGCTTCACCTTATAAAGATGTATAGTGTCATTAGGTTGGTGTAGGTTTTTAACTGGATTTCAACATAGAATTTTACCACCAACCTACAGCTCCACTAGAATGTGTAGAATGAAAATCTCAAGTTGTTGTTTTTGCACTTAAAGGACTGCATATCTTAGGCATTCTGATGCCTTCTTTGGATTGAACTCTATTGGTCAAACTAACTTACTTGGACAGCTGGACCCAAAAAAATTCCATTGCGAACAGCCTGGGTAGCATTTATCTTGGTCAAAATATAACCATTCTAGTTTTCACGAGCAGTAATCATGACACCCCTATCGCTCCTCCATCTTCTCATAATAACTTCAAGGGAGTAGAGAGGATTCATTTTTTGTAAGATTCAGTGTCATATATGCAGGAGTTCCAAGTCTAATACAAGTCGGGATGGTCTCCCACACTCCTTCTAGCAAGCATCTCTTTGAATATATCCCATTACTTACATATGCATAGTATTTGCCTGGTAGGTTCGAACACAACTGCGCTGATTACTAGCTGCAATATTATGGAATTCTCCCCAGGGATCTGACTATGTGTTTGATCCAGTGACCGGGGTAGTAATGTAAAGTGCTTAGAGGCATTGTGCATGAAGTGCTATATAAGAGCGCCATATTATTATATTATTTGCGTGTTTTTACTAATTTTATTATGAATTGTCTCACTTTTATTTTCTCTTGTACTTTCTAAATATTTTGCTTTGTATTATACTGTATAACAAAAATGGCATTTTGTTATCGTCTTCACAAACATATTTTTATCAGTTATTACTTATCACAAGTATTATCATAATTATTATCACTTCTAATCAGTCATTAGTTTTATCATCATTGCTATCATTACCGTCGTAAACATCACTAATTTCATCATCCTCGTCAGAGTCGTAATCACTTTAATCTTCATCATCTCCATCACTGTCAACATCATCATCAATATAATCATCATCATGATCTCACTATTATCACCCTCATCAACATTATTATTATCTTCATATCACATCATCATCATCATCGTCACTATCTCAACCCTCATCTTCACCAACATTATCATCTTTGAATCCCCACACGATGGCGTGTATTTCAATACTTGGATTATCATCTTCATTGTCATCATCACTATCATTCTTATAATGATCATTGATATTACTATCATTTTAATCATGATCGTCATCCTCATCGTCATCATCACTAGCGTCATCTTCATTATAATAAATAATAATAATAATATCATCATCACCAAAATTTAAAGTGAGCTACTGAGGTAATATCAAACCAACAAGCTAGGTGGCACTCTTCACAAGTGTACACAATGACTACCATTGCAATACTTCAACTAATTCTTATCAATATCTGTTCAATCTTTATCTCGATTCAGGTTTAGGCATCCTCTTTGGGGGCATCTGGTTTGTTATCGGCGGGTTGATGGCCTCGAAAAAACTACACAAACAGATGGTGCACAATATTCTTTTAACACCCATGTCCTTTTTTGACAAGACACCTAAAGGTCGACTACTGAATCGGTTTTCAAAAGATATTGATAATGCTGATTTCCAACTGCCACAAACATTTCAGTCCTGGTTGGGATGTGTCTTTAAAGTATCTGGTGCCCTTATCGTCATTTGTATTTCTACTCCAGTTTTCCTCACTGTTTTTCCGGCTTTAGCTCTGTTTTATTACATTGTTCAGGTATTTTCACTCAATTATTTATTACTTTAAATTTTTTTTAAATGCATTTGCATTATATTTATTAACAATTCATATTTATTGTTTTTAATTAAGTAAGAACACTGGTAGCACTGCCTTGACTAACTTGAATTATTTAAAAAGACAAAGTGTTACCAGTGGTCTGCTGCCCTCATCTGGTGTAGTTGTCATTTTAAATACTTGTTGTTTTTTTCTTGTGTGAATGCTCAGTTGATATATATTGACTTTTTTTTCTTAATTTAATCGATAATGATGTATATTTCCTCAGAAGAGTAGATGTTGATAGTTCAACCTTAGGAAATGCTCAGAAAACTTTTATTGCTTAAAAATTGTACTTATAAAATTCTTAATTAAGAGAATGCTTAGAAAAATACTTTGAGGAATGCTCAAAAATGTACTTAATAGAATGTGCAGAGAAATACTTAGGAATTGCTTGGGAGAGTACTTTGAAAAATGCTTAGAAAAATTGGAAATATGCAGGAAAATACATAGCAGAATGCTTAGAAAAATACTTAAGGGGATGCTGAGGAGATATGCTAAGATGATGCACAGGAAAATAATTAATGGGATTGCTCAGGTGAAGACTTAAGGAATGGCTAGGAGAATAATTTAAGAGAATATACCTAATTAATATGCATTTATTTAAATGAGGCAGTTATTACATGTGTGAATTCTCAGAATGATTTCTCAAGACCCTAATGCAACTTAAGAGAGTACTTGTAACATTTAGAGAATCAGTATTTAGAAAAATGTTAATGAAAATACTTAAAAATGATCAAGAGATGATCACTATGCATATACTTATAACATTGGTTTCAAATACTTTGTTTTCCTCCCATTAAAACAATTTTACTTAATTTAGCTTTTTTAAATTTCATTATTTGTGTCACACATTCAACAGACCAGCTAATTCAACATTTTTTGAGTGACAGCATCAAAATATTACAATGTAGATGTATGTAGAGAGAAAATTAAAATTCATGAATATGACACAATGGGATTACGCACCGAGATCCCAATGGGCTACTACTTGCATAGTAGTCACATGATCCATTCTAATTATTAATTGCAATTCCAAGGTCCAGCTGGCTTCAACTCCTGCCATGGCAACACGACCACAACATCTCCACTCCGTAAGCCTTATTCTTGTGCGTAAAAAAATTATTAATAAAAATATATATTAAATTTTAGTGCTGAAGCTGCAGAGAAACACAATATCTACACAACTGTCCATTCTAATGTCTATTTTTCTGCCAATTTCCCTGAGCATGGCCACTGAGCTAACATTGGCATGATAAACCAACTTTTATCTGATGTTTTAATTGCTTCCGTGGTTGACTATTCCTTGTGCACCTAACATCTAGAATAGCTACTGTTTGTTGTGTACCTAACAACTAACACAGAGATACTATTTGTTGTGCAACTAACAGCTACTACTGGTGGTGTATCTAACAGCTAACACAGCTACAATTGATTTCAAATCATTTCTAACAACTGACATGTTTACATTGGTTTAGTTTAGGCTTTTGAATATTTCATTCTAACTTGAACTTTATTAATTTAATTAATGCTCACTGACCCTAAACTATGATTTGATGATAACCTCAGAAAATGATGAGAAGATACAGTAATTGTTCAAAAAGGAATTGAAAAAGAGTAAAAAAACAATCAAGAATTTATTATGCATTAAGAAAGTATGAATATTCATGCTAATATTTAAATGTTACTTGGTTTTGCATATTTAATAACACCACCTGTAAGTCAATGCTATGTTTTGCTTTTCCTTGCATGATCCTTTTCAATTTTTTAAAACTTGTTTACCTGTCTATTGTATTCTTTAGGCATTAATTTAGATGTTCAATTAATTTTAATTTTAGAATGAACATATCAAATGTGTCAATTTATAAATAATAAAGCCCTGTCCAGATTGTCAAATTTTGTTTGATAAAAACATGCGACATAATAATAATAATATTAATATAGTATTTATATAGTGCCCAAAGGATCACATCCCTCTAAGTGCTTAACCAGTGATGTTGTTATTATTACCCCTGGTCATCGGATCAATAATCAAATGACATCACATCATGACCATATATAGGCACATCATGACTATATATGGCCATGAGGACATCCTATCATGACCATATATAGGCACATCATGACTATATATGGCCATGATGACACCAAATCATGACCATACATAGGCACATCATGACCATACATAGGCACATCATGACTATATATGGTCATAAGGACATCACATACAACAATTTTTTTGTCAAAAAAATGTAATAGCCTGGACAGAGCTTTAGAATAAAAGGCTTATGACATAGAAGAATAGATTTAATTGATGTCCCAAAGTTATGATATTTATTTATGCATTTTTATGTTCAAAATATCTTTAATCAAATTCTCTTTTCCTCCATAAACAATACAGAGATTTTATGTTTGTACATCACGCCAATTGAAACGTTTAGAATCGGTGTCACGGTCTCCAATCTACTCGCACTTCTCTGAAACGATAACAGGAACAAGTACGATACGAGCTTACGGACGTCAGTCAGAGTTCATCCAACAAAATCAGGGTTTGATAGATGAAAATCAGGTCACATATTACCCTAATGCCTGCTCCAACAGGTAAACAAAATCTACTATATCAGAGGTGGATCCGGTGGACGTATGGGGGACATATTCCCCCGTTTTGGAATTGAATTTTTAAATTTTAATGCATATATTGAAGTTAGCACTACTCACTTATCTATTCTGAATATGTTGTTCTCCCGGCCAACTCCCCCCCCCCCCCCCCCGTTTGAAAAGGTCTGGATCCGCCCCTGTGTATCATACTTTATACTTCACAGCAAGAGCTATTTCCTGCATTATTGTTAAAAAATAAAACAAAACTGTTGTATGGCCATATATAGCCATGATGTACCTATATATGGTCATGATGTGCCTATATGTGGTTCTTAAACCGAGTAATTAGCATAAGAATGTGGTAGTATTGTATACTTTAGTAAAGAGAAGCCACAATACTTTTACTCATAACTATGGGAATAGTAAGTCAATTCTAATAAATAACCCATCATTTTAAAGCTTATACTGTTGTGAAGATTGATAATGATGATCTATGATTGATTGTTATTCCTTAACTAGATGGCTTGCTCTTCGTCTGGAGTTCGTTGGTAATCTTATTGTATTCTTTGCATCATTATTTGCTGTGATTGGTCGGGATAATCTTAGCCCAGGTCTGGTGGGCTTGTCAGTTTCATATGCAATGCAGGTAAGTTGATGACCTAATTATTATGATATAATGGATCATGTGACACATGATCACACAGGATTTTTTTTTTTACGTCAAACAACAAATAGTCTTACCAACTGCAGGACACGTAAATGTGATTGCCGTAAATAGCCCCATCCCTGGGGAAGAACCTGAGAACACATCTGAGCAATAGTCAGGTTGACCTATGAACCCGTGCCTGAGTATAGTTAGTCAAGGCTCAGTATGTTCAGCATAGACCAATACATTTAATTTAGCAACATCCTACAAAGTACATACATGTTTCCTTGGTACTGGTAGCATTCCCAAACTACAATGGCTTTCCAGAGGTTTCTGTCCTTCATAGCCATCTTAAGGTCCTCTGCTTCCATTCCAGTGTCTTCTTTAAGGATTTCCTTAGTACAAAAGTTTATTGTATTGTGTTTTTTCCTTGGTAGATTACACAGACATTGAACTGGTTAGTGAGAATGACAAGTGACTTGGAGACTAACATTGTTGCTGTTGAAAGAATCAAAGAATATTCAGAGACATCTACTGAGGTAAACAAGCAATGCTGCACACTGGTTGCTATGATACAGCCATTTTTTTTTCTTGTCCAAGGTTAACCCACCCAAAATCTTGAAATTCAAGGGTCAACTTATTTGTGAAGGAGAGAAGCCCAAAATATGTGCTTAACATTTCAAAGGACCGTTTTGCAAGGTTTATTTATTAAATTGAATTAGTCATGGGTTTTGCTCTGTTACCATATTACCAACCGCAGTGTAGAGTGGGACTGATGATTGCTAAGGGACTCTGAAATTACCACAGAGTAGAGGGGGCCTGATGGTTGCTAAGGAACTCTTAGTGTTACTCATTCACATTCGCTTTAAGTTGCTACTCAAGTTGCACTTATTTTTATCATCTCTTTTTTTTAACGGTACCATATATTTTAAATTTATATAAGATTGATTCATTAAATTAAGCCTCTTCCAATTGAGGCATGCTATCCCACAACCATTTGACTGATACACTTTTTTTTAATTGGTTTTTCTGAAAATTACGTACTGCTTCTGATAAATGATTTGGACATTCCTAGGCTGCTCGAATTGTAGAAGACAATCGACCTGATGAAGGTTGGCCCAGCAAGGGTGAGATTGTGATGACTAACTACTCTACCCGCTATCGTGAAGGCCTAGATTTAGTTGTCAAAGGCATTGACATTAGTATCAAGAGTGGAGAGAAGGTATGTATTCAATCTTTCAGACATCATAAGATCTACTACAATATTTTTCCCTTTAATATTTCCTACACTTTCTATCTCATTTATTTCCAATTCCTATTGATTTCTTCATTTATGCACCTTCCATTTCTATATTACCTTCTTGTTCAAATCCCACTTTTCTTTTTGACTACACTATTACTTTCCCATTCTCTTTGCTTTACATTCTTCAAAGTTTCCATCCATGAGGTTCTGTAGAGTATTAACAGTCATGCAGCAAAAGTAGATTAATTGTATAGCAACAGGCTACTGGCATGTCGACAGGAGTTCTGTCATAGTAACAGGCATAGTCAACTTACGGTGTGTTTATCAAAGCACTTTATCTGCTTTGCTTCTCTCCACACAGGAATATAAATTGGTATATAAAATCACTTTATTTCAACAAAGGAACAATTGCCACTGGACAACAATGATCCAGGAATTGGACTGATGCAGGAAAAGCAAAACAGTGAATCATTATAGAAAATTAAAAAAATAATAATAATAATACTTGTATTGTGCGATACTGCAACAACACACAGGAATAAATGCTCAATAACATAAAAAAACATACATTTCCTGTTTTAAGTAATTGGTACAAGTTAGCTAAGACATGAAGAGACCGTTGGGGATAAGCAAGTTACTTGTCCACACCTTGAGCACTTGGACACCGTTTCAGTGTAAAGCACTATATAAATCCTTATTACAATTATGATCTTTCAGATTGGAATTGTTGGTAGAACTGGTGCGGGCAAGTCTTCACTGACTTTGGCAATTTTCCGTATTATTGAGGCTGCTGGAGGAACCATTACCATTGATGGTATTGATATTTCAAAAATTGGGCTTCAAGATCTTCGCTCAAAAGTCACAATCATACCCCAAGTGAGTAGCTGTTTGTTGATTTTCAAGGAAATTAACAATGCAATATTCTTGATCTCTGTTTACTGATTTTACTTTTTATGGAAACATTTGTCATATATACTCATGTGTCATGAGCATCTTTACAGATGGATACTGGTGCACTACAAATTCTCAGTATTATCAACACAGCGTATGCCCATATATAGTCATGATGTGTCTGTATATGGTCATGATGTGATGTCATCACTACCATATTTAGGCATGTCACATTTTTTTTGTCAAAAACAAATTGATAGTCTGCACAGGGTCAATGGCTTATTGTAAACTAATTACTTTTCGCAGGACCCAGTTCTTTTTGCCGGCTCACTTCGCATGAACCTTGACCCCTTTGATAGTTACACTGATGATGAAATCTGGAATTCCTTGAGCTTGTCCCATCTCCAAGTTTTCGTGTCAAGTTTACCACGTGGACTTCAACATGAATGCACCGAAGGAGGAGAAAACCTTAGGTGAGGATGACAAAATGATTGGGATGACTTTTGGGAGGATTTTGATATTGTGGTATGTAAACACTCCAAGAATAGCCCACATCCCTACATCCCGACCTAAACTCATCAAAATGCCAAGCAGCAATGGAATGACACTGAAGATTAAATGGTTCAGTGTAGTTGCTACCAGCTTAGCTGATGGAACTAAGTTGGTGAAGAGGCGAAGAAATTTAGTATTATAGCTCAGAATAAACATATTTTTTTTTAACCATATTTATAGAGGATGACCCTTTCAGCGTATCCTAGAACGTGGGCTGATATTTAGGGACCCTCTTAAATAAATGAAATAATGTGATGCTTTTATCAGCAAAGGCTCTTAATGAGGCTTAGGGAGTGGAGTTATTTTTAGTCGTGAGAAAGAGTCCTGTCACAAGAATCGAACACAGGACCATGGGCTTAGAAGGCAAGCATCTTAACCACTAAGCTATTCCATTCCAATGTCAAGGTACTTGATTCAGATCTTACTAACTTAATTTCATACCCAATTTTACAGTGTTGGTCAAAGGCAGTTAATTTGTCTAGCGAGGGCGCTGTTACGGAAGAGCAAGTTACTGGTCCTAGATGAAGCAACTGCAGCCGTAGATCTTGAGACAGATGACCTGATACAAGCAACAATTCGTATGGAGTTTGCAGATTGTACGGTGTTAACGATCGCACATCGACTCAACACAATCATGGACAGCAGTAGGTAAGAATGACACAATAGATTTGGATGTGATAAAGTGAATTCTTTGAACATTAAAGCTGAGCACAGGCTACGTTGTATGGCAGTCTGCCAGTGAGTTTACCTTCGTTCTCTGTGTGCGCTTGCTGATGAGACGCTGTCTGTTGATTGTCGGCAATCTGAGCGTCGGATTCTCAATTAAAAATAATTCACACACCTCATGTTGTGTCCTATATAAAATTGTTTTGGCCGATATTGTCTTTATCCGCTGTTATCAAATGACGTAAATATGCTATAAATGTATCTTATGAACTTTTGCCCCTTCAGAACTCTTTTCTTTCGTTATTTGCTTGTGATTAAATTTTAATAAGTACAGTTTACTGTAGTTTAGTTTCAGGCCCACTTTTATGGACTTATGCCTCCTCTGTTCCCAGCACTTTTTATTAGGATTTTTTAATTAGCGAATAGAAGTGAATGAATAAAGTGAAATTAAAAGCTGTGGCGTATCTAGTGGGTGCACCCAGTGTCCCCATCACCTTATTTTGAGACCTTGACACCCCTACCCCCACTTAATTATCAAGCTCCCTGTCAGCCACACATTTTAAGTTACATCTTTTTAACTGACACGAAATGCTCAGAATATAAATAAATTGTATTAAACTAAAAAAAAAACTGTAATCAAATGATTTTGTTCTTAATATGATTCATCTAATTCAAAGACAATTTGAATTCTGAAGCTTGGATCACTTTATAAATATTTCTTTGTTGTTTTTTTTTTCTTAACAGAATTTTAGTTTTAGATGATGGAAGAGTTTCCCAGTTTGCTTCTCCAACTGACCTTCTTTCTATTGATGGGATTTTCTTCAACATGGCGAAAGATGCAGGTTTAGTGTGAAGGAATCCAGATTCAATAAGAGATGAGCTGGTCTTGTCATTCTTTGAGAGACAAAAGTTCATTGTAAATGGTACAGTTTAAATCAAATCTAAACTATTAATGCTGGATAACCAAATGTGGCTCCAGATATCAGGCCTTATTGTCACCAGAATTTTTCAAACGGTGGGGGGAAGAGGCCCACAACATATTCAGAAGATAAGTGGGAGTGCTAATTTCAATATATGCCTTGAAATTTTAAAATTTAGTGGCAAAACAGGGGGGGGACATGCCCCTACTTGATTCGCCCCTGGGGTTAAATGAGCTTTCTTAACATATCTAATTTCAACACTGACTTCGATGAAAATTCAAGAGATTCAAATTTTTTTATTGTTGCGAAAGCCATCGAGGGCTATTATCCATTTATTTACAACACATATATGTGAGGTCTCACTACAAAATGAGTCTCATCGTTAGAAAATCAAAAAATGAGTTTATTTTATATTTTGGTAGATCACATTATAAGGTTTAATTTGGTCTTTGAATGGCTTTCCTAGAATGAATAGATCCAGAGATGTGAGCATTTAAAGTTTAGGTGTAAGAGAACCAGGTTTTGAGAAAATCGGCCTGAAAGATAAACTAACCTGTACAAATAATAGGACTAGAATTACAGAATATGCGAAAAGAACACTGTTTTAGTAAGAAAATTCACTTAAAAAGTACACAATCATAAAATATAAGTATCAAGTTATTCCAAAACATTAAAATAAAAATTTTGTAAAAATGTTGCCTTTGACATATTTTGGTAAATATCTCAATACGATTTCACCAACGATGCATCTCATTTCGTGGTGAGACCTCACATATATATACAATCAACACAATAAATATCTTGCATTACTGGTTAACACTCTGACCACCAGTAAAAGTAGTATCAGTCACCGCCAGACTTTTTAGCGAATTTTAACACTTTTCCAAAGCTCAGTAGGTTAGGTTAATAGGATAGGTAAATGTAATGTCTGTGACATTCTTGCTTGTTTGCGGGAGGCCGCCTCGATTTCTGGGAGACTCACACGACCTGCGGCCCCTGATATCTTATATGGGTATAGTATATATATAAATATATAGGTGTTGTAAGAGAGCATGTGTATTAGTATATTTGTAGGTACATGTAAAGGATATATATATATATATATGTATATATATATATATGTATATATATGTTTAACATTCTACCACGTGACTGTCACTGATGCAGACCTATCGCATCTGTGCTTAACTCACACAGTAGCTTTGTTAAGCGGTAGCTATGTACTTGGCTCATTTGCATAGCGCTGCGTTTGTGGAGCTTTAAGTGATATCTTTCTCAATAATACCTCCATGATTGTACTGTACATGTACCGCTGTTAAAAATGATGCCAAATCCCTTTCTACATGTTATCCATTACATATCATTATTAGTTTAAATTGGGTTCTTATGCAATTATAACTTATTCTATTTATAAGTATTAATTACCTTTCCTGGTGTTTAACTCACACAGACCCGTGCATTGGGTTGCGTCGTACGACACTGCCTCAAGTGTTTTTAATGTGTAGTGAGTGCAAGTAATATAACCAGTATTTATCCAGTACAACAATTGTAACTTATTCTAAGGTATTAATTACCTTTCCTGGTTTTGTTATTTAAATACTGTATTATTTTTTAATACAGTAATTTTATTGAGTATGTTAAGGTGCCAAATCAATTGAAATATTTGTTCAGAATTACTTGAGTTAAATTCTATAGGGTTTATGTTATGCGTTAATTTTACTTCTTGAATTCTTTGTTAGGATCCAACTTGTTAGGCCCCAGTGTATGCGATAGTATGGTTTGTTCTGTTCCAGATGTGTATTATACTTTTTTTCTTTTTAACATATATCTATAGGTTGCTATATATTTTTGAGACATGTTCCCACAAAACCAGGACAACCAAAATATTAAAACATTATTTTTTAATAAATACTGTAAGTACTTCAATTATTAAATACTGTATATATTATGTGTTATTACATGATCATAAAGATGGTCTCATCTCAACCAGAATAAATACAGTAATTTTTTAATCAGTATTATCATTCCACACACAATGAATAGTTGTCTTAACATTTTAATTTTTACCAGGTTTTATGGGAACATATATGTATTGTTTCTGTTAGTGGCTTGATAACAAGTAAAGCATGCACAATTTTGAAGCAATAACTAAAATAACATTTTTACTTTATTAAAGATTGTAGCAGTCTTTTACAAGTTCTTATGCACTGGTCCTTGAGTTACAATACACACTAATATATCTAAAAAACACAGTATACACTATTACCTGTTGTTTAATTATATATAGTAACAGTTCCACAAAGAGTTTCACATTTTGTTTTCGATTTAATTTGCTGCCTATACTTAACATCCAAGTGACCACCACATAACATCTGCACAATGATAAGACTCTACATTTACAGATAATCTCCCACCAATTTAATTTCAATTTTTTTTTTTTTTTTTTTTTTTTTTTTTTAATTTTATTATATTAATCAGTCGATATACACACAGGCCTTTTCACATAGTTATATCAAATTGAGCTTTCCATGAGTATTGCGATGAGCATTAGTTTGAAAAAACAGTATGTAGGGAAATGTGAATTCCCCACAACCACCCCCCACCCATCCATCATTTTGGTGTCAAAATCTTACAGCACTGTCTACAGCTCTATTATTTTGATATTAAAGGGTGATGATTGTCTGCTTACTAAATAAGTCAAGGGTGATGTTACTGAGGAATGCAGGGATACTCTGTTGTTGTTGAAGGTATGTTTTAATAAAGTCTCCAAGGGTTGAGGAGAATTCATTTTCCAGAAGTTGCATATCGCCACTTGAAGTCCACTGAAAATACAAACCACAGAATAATAGGTCAGTTTCAACATTAATAATGAGTTGGGTCCAAAGAAATTTAACAGTTTTTATTTAATATCCTAAACCATTAAATTGGACAAAGGGTTCAACACAGGGGTCGGGTAAATGGATCCTGGATAAAAAAAATCCCTGGTAGCATTCACAGGGGGAGTTTTTATGGCTTAGTATGGTCCAAATTGTGCTTTTAGACCACAATATTAGGGATTAGCAATCACAAAATTTTTTTTGGACAGGTAAATTATTTTTTAATATTTGTTCGGATGACAGGGGGTCCAGGCCTGTCTCTTTGCATTACAAAGCCCCCTGCTGGCACTACCACTGCTTTAGGAACATATTGATTGCAACTACAGTACATCATTACCTGGAATAGAAGCATATCTTCAGGTTGTTCAGCATACATGGACTTCAAACAATATTTGTTGGTGGTTGGGTTATCAATTTGATAGCCGGTCAGACGATAACATGCTTGACGAAACTCTTGGATTTTGGTAGCAAAAACTTCTTTAAGCCTTTGGTTTCGGAGTTCAGAAGCTTTGAGTTCCTTCTGTAAATCTAAAGGAAATTAAAATTTATGATCAGGATGACTTAGCCTTTTTTTTTAAATGTAATGTAATTTTACTCATCAAAGCTTTATTAGCCAGAATTAACCCTTACAGCCACTATAAAAAAGTTACTACAACAATTTAGTACCTTGAACATCTTTGCTAGAGATGATTGGCACAACATCAGCAGCATCTGAGGTACTGGTTGTACCTTGCGACTCTAGCTGAAGTACACGTTGACGCAGCTTCTCGCACTCTTCGCGTAGCTTCTCCATGTCTTCTACCTTTTTTTTCTTTGCTTGCGATGTTGGGTTGAATTTTAAGTGAATTACTTTAGATTTTGTGGGGTCGTAGTCTCCCTAAAAAATGAGTAGTCAAATTAGATTTATAAATAATGTTACTAATATTTGTAGTCTCCATTAACATTTATTTAGTCAATTACAACCCCAAATATGAAATGAATTTTGTTCCATTAACCTGTAGAGATCGCTGCTCCATGTGAGCTTCCAACACCTCTAATCTCTCCTCTAGCTTCTGGTTCTCCATTTGAACTTGCTGAAGCTTCTCCTTTGCTGTCTTTAGCTCTTCTGCTTGAAGTGAACTGGTTTCTGTTGGAAGAGGGAGCAAGGCCTTTGAAATTTCTGCAAGCTCCAGCTTCTCTTTCAGTTCAGTCACCTGTGTCTGTAGCTGTTGACCCTGTAGTCTCTCTTTACCAGCCATTTCTTGGCAAAATTTTACATTAGCCTTAAAAGTAAGCAGAATAATCAGAGAATCATTGATATGTCTTGCAGGGTTCCTTCTCATAGCACACTAGAAAGTGAGCGTCTTCACCACCAAGGCAATGGTGCTTTTTTTCTGGAATCTAGAGATTACATAACAAATAGGTTCTTAACCTCAGCCCTCTCTCTCCCTCAGCCCTCTCTCTCCCCCCCCACCCCTCTCCCTCCCCCCCCCCCCCCCCCCCGCAAAAAAAACAAACCGGTGGGGCCAAGTTGAGTATGGACTACCTGTCAGAGAAATGCCAATTGCCACTGCAATACACATGTAGAGTTGGATAAAGCGATTGATGGTTTGTATGTACAACTTTACCTCTAACTCTTCAACTTGTTTCTGGTAAGCCTGCAAATTCAGCATTGTCTGTTGTAGACGATTCACAACTTTTGCATTAGCACCTCCACGCTGCAATTCTTGATTGTATGTGTTGAGAACCTGGTTTAAACTGTCCCTTTCCTGGCAACAGAAAATAAGAATACACTAAGTAATATGCCAGGAGCAGATCCAGAAATTTTTAAATGAGGGGACACAGATTTCATATACGCCTAGTCGGTAAGTAAAAATTACAATTTATTTACAAAAAATTGGATTAACCAAAAAGAAAAAATTATACAGTTCCCCAGACCCCCACCCCTAAATCAGCCCCTGCTAATATACTGTAATTAGGTTATATCTCACCTTTGTTAACAAGGTTACCCCCTTCTGCAGTCGTTTTGCGAGCTCTTCTAACTGTCTGTTCTTCATTTCTGCCTCTAAAAGTCTCGAGTTTGTAGAGGCAAGTTTTTCTGATGCAGACTTGTAAGCCTGTTGATGAATGTTCGAACTGCATGAGAAAAAGAAACAGTACAATTAATATATATGTAAACAAAAATCAACTGATCCCCCACCACTGATGCCCTCCCATCCTTAACAATGCGATGGGGACAGTATTAAGGTTGTAAGTACTAATTGACTGTCCCTGATGTGGCAGAACTATCACGTTCAACTCACAGTCAACACTGTGAGTTTGCCTTAAATGGTCGGTCTCTCGATCGCCATCTCTGAGCACCTGTCCTCTGTGGTTTTGTTTTACAGATTGGTGATGAATGGATGACCCGCCTTTCCCTCTGGTTTTAATTTGATATAAGCTACTGTATAAAGCAATTAAGACTACTGCTCTTTGCATAATGAAATACATGCAGGGACCAGCTCTCTGAAATGGATATGTGTGCTATATAATATAAATTTTATTACTGTTATTCATTATGTAGGTGACTAAACATTAATGAAAATCGAGTTCCGTTAAGGATTGGCATAAATGTTTTGTTGTGACTGAGAATGGTGGTCAGATGTCTATGTAGGAATATTCATGATGTACCTGGATTCTAGCATGCCTTGTTTCCCTAGCAACACCAGCTCTTTCTGTTGCAGTTCAGCTAACCGATTTGCTAGCTCCATCGGTGACCTAATAAGTAATAGTAATAGTGACACACCCATATATTCACAAATTGTATTTATTTATTTATTTATTTACTTTGAACATAAAAATTGATAAAGTGGAAAGAGCTTTTAGCATGCTACTTCCAATGGGATGCACAGAGCAACTGGATTTTAAAGAATGAGTCCTTACATTTTTTTTCAACTAAACACTTCAAAATAATTTTATTTAAAAAAATATGAAGATTGTCACTTACTTAAAACCTCCTTTTTCTAAATTACAACATGATTCCCACTCATTTACTCTGAACTGAAGAGCCTACAACAAAATAAGAATAATGTTATTCCCATTAATGTGAAGCGCTTAGAGGCCTTGTAAAGGCATGAAGCGCTATATAAGAACGACATATTATTATTATTATAGGGCATCAGCAGCCACGGAAATTATGTTCACGAGATGCATCTTCAACAAAATAAGCAGGAACACCCCCCACAAATCAATCAGTTGTCATTACCTCATGTTGTACTTGTAACTTGTAAAATTCTTCTATTTTTTGCTCAGCTCTACTTAGCTTGCCTTCAAGGCTCATTACCTTCTCGTCAGCAAGCATTTTACCTGCACTCAATTCTCTATATGAACCAAGAATAAATCATCAATTAGATTATTAAAATTAGGTTAGCACCTGCATCCTTTAAATAATTTCTTTTTCACATTCAAGTAATTCCTTACAATGAACTACTAGATAAATTATTATTTAATTATTCTATTCACCTGTACTTTTTAAGGTCAGCTTTGAGTTGTTTATTTTGTCTCTCAAACTCTGTTAATTTTTTTACATCATTGCACATTGCCTTGGCAATAGTGGCTTCCTCTTCCTGATTGGATAGCTTTTGTTGTAATTCCTGGAACAAACAAAAAAAAAACAAAGTTTACTTCTAGTAAAATAATATAATACTGAAACTCTGCCCACATTTTCTTTGACAAGAAACTGTTGTATGCCCATATATACTGTAGTCATTATGTGCCTATATATGGTCATGATGTGATGTCATCATGACCATATTTAGTCATGATGTGATGTCATCATGACCATATTTAGTCATGATGTGCCTATATATGGTCATGATGTGATGTCATCATGACCTTATTTAGTTATGCTGTGCCTATATATGGTCATGATGTGATGTCATGCTGTGCCTATATATGGTCATGAAGCAATGTCATCGTGACCATATATGGTCATGATGTGATGTCATCGTGACCATATTTAGTCATGTCACATTTTGTCAAATAAAATATGATAGTCTAGACAGGGCTTTTGAATAATAACATAGATTGAAATAATATATTTATCGATAAAAGAATTGTATCTACAAACATCCTTAAATTGATCAGCCACCAATAAATGTCCCTCTAAAAGATACGAACGCTGATAATTATGTACTATTTAATTGGCAAAAACAAATGTTCTTGTTATAATCCTTAATTGATTTTAAGTATCCAATTTGTTTAAAAAAACTGTTACTTTACCCTGATGGTCTGATGAGCTGTTGCTAAGTCCGACTTACTCTGCTCAAGGGCTCTCCTTAAGGTTGATGCCTCTGCACCCCGTCTGGAATAATTTTAGAAATTAATTTTTAAAAAATAATAATTTGTTATACTGGAAAAAAAACTTAAGCAAACAAGCAAATACATTGAAACATCTTTAGTTTGTTTGGCATCTCATTCACCTCATTTGATGTTGAAGCTGGCTTTTGGCCCCTTCCAAATCTGTTTGTAGTAAAGCAACTTCAGAATTTTTCCTGCAAAAAATGAAAGAAGGTCACAGTGTGACAAAATGAAGCCAGCAACTAAGCACGACCAGCCAACAAGACTTAAATGTTGATTGATGGATTGTTGGTTTCCACGGTGGTTTTACAATATTTCAAACATATTTGTGTGAAATACACGGAAGCTTCATTATGCATTACAATATGCAAATTTATTATTTTTTGTAACAGTAATTTTCCTATTTCTTTGCTCAGGAACTGAACATTGCATTCTGCTGTGGAAATGGCGCTATACAAATACTTGTTGATTGATTAATTGATTGGTTGATTGACATGGGAAATTTTAGTTCTTACATTGTCAATTTATGAAACAGCTCAGATATCTTATTGCTGGTATCCAATTTCAACTGAAAATAAATAAAATTGTTTAGAAACATAACAAGACCATCAATGTTTTACAGCAATACAAAAATACACTTCCCAGCTGTCCTCCCTTCACCAAGTAATATAAAACATTTTTAAATTATTTTTCTTTTTTATAAATATCAGCACACTCTGTCAACTCCTGCCCTTGTAATTTGTAATGCAAGACTACCCTCCCCATCATGCCTCCCTCCCACTCTCCCCAGCATGACCCCTAGACTATTCTTTAATATCAAATATTAGAACCTTTCAACAGTAGCTACATAATATAAAAACGTTGAATTCCTTCAGATTTACTCAATGGTCCTTCTGCAGCAGCTTCACATGGGCCCTCACCTGTCTCTTATACACATCTAGATGTGTATAAGAGACAGAGCCAGGGGTGGGTATGGGAGGGGTGTCCCCTCCTCCCAAAACGAGATTTTTCTTAAAATTTGGGACTTCTAGATGGCCGGAAATGGCTGGGATGGGAAAACAAGGCCTATTTTTTTTAATTTTTTTTTGGTCGGACTGCCTGACGAGCTTTGGCCGATGGGGGAACCTTGACCAGACCGATGGGAGGGCTTAACCCCCTGCCCCCTGCTGACGCCGCCACTGAACCTACCTCCTGATGTGCTGTCATTATCTCCAGCTTTTGTTTGCGCAGATCCAGGATTTGATTTTCGTATTGATGTCGCAAACTCTCCTTTGCAGCGCGGAGTTCATTGACCTCTTTGGACTTCTTATCCTCCTGCTTCGACAAATAATCTAACTGCTGTGTCAATCTCACCACCTTTTCAGAATATTTCTGGAGAATTATTGTAAAAAAATAACATTTATTGATTGAATGTACGTTGTTTTCGCACCAATATTCAGTGGGGATTCCCAAAGATGGGCGTGGCTCGCCCATCGGCTCAGTGAAACGCCCACTGGCTTCCATTTTGGACGGCCTATTTCGTTTATATGGCTAAACCCTTGATTACCACCAAAGCTTTTAATGACACCAGATAATTAGCTCGACTGTGAATTGCCTAATAATTAACTAATTTTTTTAATATGTATATATTGTTTTTTTTAAATGTTTTTTTAATCCAATAATCTGCTTGTAATTACATGGAGATATAAAAACCCCAAAAAAACTTACATCTTTCTCAATGCTTTCTTTGGCAAGGTTGCTCTCAAGTTCCAGACGAGAGCGTTTGTGGCACATTTTCTCAATCTCCATATCGTTCTTCAATTTGGTTAAGTAACTTTGGGTTAAAATTTCTTCACCTTTCCTTTCTCGACCAATCTGCTCCATTCGTTGTTTCTCTGTTGTGTTATAAATAATTGTTTACAACTCAATACAGAATCACTTTGTCTGTATACTTTAAAATGGTGGTAGAGTTTTTTTAAAAAAAATTCTTATTTTATCCTCATGTTCTGGTTTCTAAGTTGGAAGAATTTTTGGGAGCTCTGCATAAACAACCTATCTTTAATAGCACATCTAATTTTGTTTTGTTGCTTTGGTGATACCCATCAAAAATGACTTCCATAAGACAAATGATAATAAAGGGTAATACAGTAGTAAAAACATACAGATTTATTGAATTTGCAAGAGTTGGGTTATTTTCCATGAGATTCTGGACCGGTTGTGGGAGATCGTCCCCATTTCCAGGAAACTCCCACGACTGACAGGAGACTCAAAACCCCTGCACTCCATGGAAGTGGTGAAACCATGAGAAAAAATGTATTTTATTAATTGTATTATTATATATTTTAACAACATCTTACTAATATCCCTTTCTATATAGGCTTCAAACTCTCCCATCATCCTTATCACTGCTGTATTTTCTTCGGCAGCCTCCATTTTTTTATGACTTCACATAAATGAAAGTCTGTAATAAACAAAACAGTCACTGAATTTATCATCATTCACCATGTGTAACATGTAAATATACAACATAATACTTATTCTATATCATTTCATCATCTTAGGCCTACATTTTTTCAACATGAAACAGGTAGGCCCAGGGCTAAATTTTTTAATTGGAGAAAATGCCTACTAGCCTACTACAACAGAGAAGACTCTGACAACAGTCAGTGGGATATACAAAAATGCAAAATAAAACCACTGACTAGCTAGGCCTACTACTCCAGAGGCCCTAGATCTAGGCTAGTATTAGGCCTCACTCTACCAGGCCCAGGCTAGGCCTTCCTCCTAGCCTAAAGGATAGGCCTAGTAGGAAGGCCTAGGGGCTAGAGGCCTATAGGCTACTAGGCTAGTCCTAGTTAAAACGATAGGAAAAACAGGCCTCGGCCTTGTTGGTCTACCAACCTGTGTCTACCTCAACTGCTGAGTGGGCTGGTGATTCTTAAGAATGCCCTTCGGCGTGCCACTGCGCTGTGTTGCAAAAATAAAAATTACTTTGATTTTTAAACTACAAAATAAAACTCCTAGGGCCTTGCATACATAGGCGGCTAAGCCTGACGATAAACAGTAGTGTCAATATAGCTAGCGGCGCGCGGTGGTGGTAAGTGTACGCATGCGTACTACCCGCAACATCAACAGATAGCTAATAGCTCTGTGAGAGGACTGGGTTCGAGATGAAGACTAGTCAAACTTTTTTTTTCTATTATTTTGCAACGTACTGAGCAGGCAGTATGGTAATACGTCAGCTATGTAAATCATCATTTTTTAATATTTTTTTTCGAATCCATGAATTTTTAAATCAAATCATTAATTAAATTTATCTTAATATATATTTCTAATCTTTAAGAAATGTTGTTATACGTAATATAGATTAATGATTAATCTTTAAATTGTTTAGGGCTTTTTATATATTTCTATAATATTTTCAAATTAGCGTGCAATATTCATGTTTTTCCATTCACTTTTTCTTATGTTTTAGGGGCAGCTGACACTTTTGAGTTACATTTACTTATTTGCTTTAGCTGTCCCTGACCATTGTTTTGTTGTTTCTTGTTGTTATTGTGCTCTTTGAATAAATAAATGAAATGAAAAATGAAATTGTCAATTATGTAAATCGGGTTTTTTTTTATTTATATAATTTTTCTATCTTTTTTATTATGATTTTTACCTGTTTTATCATTTTATCAAATGTTATTGTATTTTTAATGTATATGAGCCCAAAATGATTGGATGAGCTACCCTCTCTAGATCATTAAACATGGTTTTAAATAAATAAATAAGTATCCATGCGTATCACCAGCCACAACACAAGGCAGGTTGAGACATTTTTAACGGAAAAAAAAGTGGAAATCGATAGGTTTTCTGCAATATAAAACATATAAAAAATCATATTTTACCCTACTTTACCTTATTTTACTGACTGCTCGGTATGTTGCAAAATATTCGGAAAGTAAAAGAAAATAATTTTGACTCGTCTACGTCTCGAACCAGGGCGAACAACCATGATCAGCGGCTAGTGATACGCATGCGTACTGCTGGTTGACTTAAATGCGTTGCCAGAAAATTCAACATGTATGTTATAATATTTCTCAACAAGACGTCTGGATCGAGTTTGCGGACCGAACACTCTGGAGGTGGAGTCCCTCTTTCGACTGTAAACATAACACGGACGTGGCTTTCTTTTGCTCACCTTTTGGCTTCTTAAAACGACTTATGTGATTAATTGGTTTCCGCAAACCATCGATTCATCTGGTATATGCCCACCCCATAACATTGAACAAATTTTTTTTTTCTCAACAGGATGGGCTGATATCAGAAATAATCAATATTTGATGTCAAATAATCTTTGGTCATATTTATTGATTATGACAAAATTATTGCATAAGTGGATACAATGAATTGTTTTGCATTAAATCTTTATTGATTTTGAATTTTTCTTTTTTTGTTTTCCCTTATGGTGCATAGGTAAAGGTAGGGCTTGCCCACTAGACTTCCTACAGTAATAATAATAAATAATAATAATAATAATAATTTCTCTAAATTGGACTTAAGGGGAATATCTTTTGTGTTATTTTCCCAGGGATCGTTTCCCAGTCAATGCCGTAGCCAGCTGTTGGGACAGTCCCACACAGTTTTTCTAATGGGTCCTCAAAGAATACGTCCACATTTTTAAAATGGGTCCAGATTTCTCATATTTTGTGTAAAATGGGTCAACTTTTAAGAAAATGGGTCCAGATTTCTGATATTTTGTGTAAAGTTGGTCAATGTTTTAGAAAATGGGTCCAGATTATTCATATTTTTGCGTAAAATGAGGGAACTTTTAGGAAAGTGGGTTCGCAATATTTAATTTGCACGTAAAGTGAGGAAACCCTGATAATTGTTCCTCACTGTTTGAAAATCCTGGCAACGGCATTGCTCCTGGTGCCTTGCTTCCTCAACAGGAGGATGGATGCCACTTGAAATAAGTCTTCTTCAGACTTTCATTGGTTATCCGTTGTGTTTACACTGATTTAAATCCAATCCAATGCAGTGTAGGTTACTAGAAGTAGTATGCATTTGCTCAGTAGTATTATAGTACAACTGAGACTGTTACGCTGTTTATTTTTCAAGCATTAGTTTTTATTTTCTTTATAAAGTTTTTGATTGGTTTTGGTTCCACAGGCTTCAAAGCAGAGTGGATGGCAGTAAAAGATGAGCATTTGTATGTTGGCGGTCTGGGGAAGGAGTGGACAACCACCACCGGAGAGTTGGTCAATCTGAATCCACAATGGGTGAAGGTGATCAGTCATCATGGTGAGGTAAGGCATGTACAGTGGACGCAAAACTACAATGCCATGAGAAAAAGTGCTGGATATGAATATCCAGGTAAGGAGTGTATATCATTTAATGGTGGTGTGCCTAACTTCTAATTCTAGGGTAGTCAGTTCAAATCTCTCTGAGATGCTGACACATGGTAATGGAAGCAGGGGTGGTGTCGGGGATTTGTTATATTAGTTGGAAGCAAATGATGAAAGAGATGTTTCATAAATCGTCTTGACTACTTTAGATTAATGAGGATTTTTGTATTGCCTACAGTAATGTCTTCAATATGGGACTTTATAATGAGTAAACCTACAAAGACAAGTTTAACAAGAGATGTTTTATTAAACATAATAGTGACTCAAATAGTAAATATTATAATTCTATTAAGGGGTCGTTCAACATTTTCACAAGTGTGCAAGCAGTATGCTAGGGTTGAGGGGTAGACAAATTTGTACACTTTTACATATGCATTAAAATGTTGATTATGCAATGTAAAATAATGGTAAAATGATAATGTAACCATGAATATAATATTCACTTTTAAGCAACCAAATACATGCTTTATTCAACACAAAAAAAAAATGGAGAATGGTTTTGTAAAATTAACACTTTTTTGTACAATTTTAGAGGGGAGGGAGGGCTAGCAAAAGAGCACTGTTTGTACGCTTGTGAAAATGTTGATGATTGTCAACTAGCCCTATGTCCTTTCCAGACTATTAAATTTTATTTGAGTAAAACGTGTGACATGCCTACAGTAAAGTAAATCATATGGTCATAACATCACAACGCCTATGTTCTCACACGGCTGCTAACTGTTAGCAGGATCTGCTTAGCTGCCGTGCATCCATACGAAAAAATCCCGATCCAGAGACAAAGAATATGATGATCCAATCACTGGCCAATAAGAAACTGGGAATTGTAAACATGTACATGTGATTGGTTGATGATAGAAATGCGCTCAACTTGCTAACCGATAGCGCTGGCTAACTGTTAGCGGTATCCGGATGCTGCTAACAGTTAGCGATAGCCGATCGGGCCTTCTCACACAGGTGCTAACAGTTAAGCGCTAACAGTTAGCTCCCGATCCGGATACTAGGGCTCTCGTGAGAACCAGGCTATAATGACCATATATAAGCACATCATGGCTATATATGGGTATTCAACAATTTTTTGTCAATGAAAATTTGATAATATGTACAGCTTATAATAATAATGCAGGCATCTATGTAGCGCATTCTTATCAGAGGATACCACAGCGCTTTATATTATAAAAATTATTAACATAAAGTAACATGGAAAATATAATGTTTGAATTTTTTGTCTCTTAATTTTATTTTTATGACTATATTTTACAAAGAATCTTTGAATTTGTAATTAAATAATATCTTTTCCAGGATACATGATCCATGAATCCGGTGTTTGGAGTGATCATCATCAACAATGGTTCTTCTTACCACGACGTGCAAGCACCATGCGCTACGATGAAGTTGAAGATGAACACCGTGCTACTAACATCCTCCTTCGTTGCTCCGAGGACTTTGAACATATCACAGTCACACGTATTGGAAGCCTAAATGTAATACGTGGCTTCTCGTCTTTCAAATTCATACCGGGGACCAAGGATCAAGTAATAGTTGCCTTAAAAACTGAGGAAAATAGCGGTGAAATTGCGACATATTTAACAATATTTAATATTAATGGCGGAGTAATTTATCCGGATGAGAAGATAGCAGATAATAAGTACGAGGGTATTGAGTTTATATGAATGATAATTTCGTTTAATATAAATATCATTTATATCTGTATCCAACCCAAAGATGTTGGTGTACAAAACAACAGTAATCCCAAAACGTGTACAGTAGTCACTTCCCAGAAGTCTATGAGATCTTGAATGTTGCATTTTTTGGTTTGTGATGAACTTTTAAAAATACTGTGCCAATGCATATATTCTTTCTGTAATAATATTCATACAGTGTGGCTAAATTTTAGTTACCAGTAATGTAACGGTATAAAAGGTCATTTTAAGGTATAAGGGACAAGTTATACATCTATTTTTAGAAAAAATAACATTCCAGACCAAGTTTAGTATTACTTTAATTGAGCTTTCTCAACACATCTTGTATTTTGTTGTACATTTAATATGATATTCATAGCTATCTCATATCATGGAGACAATGGGGGCCTTTGATTTACACAACACTCGAACAGGTTCACACATGTGTGACCGTCCTACATTCTCTTCTCAACATAGATTTGGTCAAATTGCATCCTAGCATTCATGCGATGAGGGGAACTTAATATTCTCGCGTGCACAGATGACTTTCTAGTGATGTAATTACATTCTACATCCCACAGCATCGCACAAACGAAAGCTCTCTAACAATACATCTAGAAACGTAGCAAAATTCTGAATTTGTTGTTGAAAAATGTCAAATTTTGGCATGGAGAGCATTCCCTGGAATACCAGCATGCTACAAATGCTCGATATTATTATTAATATTAATTTTATTATTATTGGGAAATGGGTTTAATGTTAATGTGGGCTGCATAAACTGTTTTTAATTTTGTGCAATCTTATTCCCTTTTTATTTGTCAACCCAAATGTATGTCAGGTGACTGTGTACATCCATAAGTATGATGTTTTATAGTTCTTATTGAAGATGTTGAGGGCTGCTTATGTCTGTGTTCTGTTGTGTTTGGATTTCAAAATCAGCTGCACCAAAATCTTTAGCGCTGTACCACCTAAATTTTAGTTGAGCTACACTTCCAGGTTTTTAGCAGAGTACCACCTAGATTTCAATCAAACACATCCTGAATTTTAAGTGAATACCATCTTAATTTTAGTAATGTACATTCTGAATTTTTTTAGTACACTTCTAAATTTCACTAGTGTACCAGCAGATTTGAAGTATACCGTCTTAATTGCAGGTGTACCATGTCAATTGACAGACGAAACAAGGTTTAGATATCTACCGGACTAATAATTTTTGTGCAAACATCATAATGTATATCATCTTGATGAGTATCTGTTTACTGTGGTGTTGGTTGCTAAAATATTTGTTGTATGACTGAAGAAAGAGTTGGTGATGGTGAAATTAATTACTGTGTGTGTTTTATAAATTTTTAATTTGTCTTAATTGTAAAAAAAACGTATTATTTTACAATTAACCTAAGTATTTCTTGAAGATTATATTATACTAACAAATCTATTCAGTTGAGAATTTAATAATTAATTATCATGCGTAATTATTGTAAATATTATTTGTTGATGATTATAAAAATAGGATTGTAAAATATAGGTGTGATACAGTACTTGTATTGTTTCCTTTAAGGTCTGTGTATACTTTTTATGACACATTTGTTGGATTTGTCCATATATGGACATGACTCTATGTGTACAGTATTACAGGTATTGGTCACTGAGGCAAGTCAAAATCATGTTTTTCTAAGAAAATTTAATAGAATTATTTTTAGCCAAAACATTTGAATAATGCAGCTTTTTTTGTCAAAATGTAATATTTTATTCTAATCTATGGTAAATAACTAGGTTTTTGCTTAGTATTCCATTTTATATGCAACTTCCATTACCTGTAGTGGTAATGTATCATTTATTGCAATGCTTTTTCTAATATAATGGAGAGTGAATACAACGCAATACTGTAAGTCACTTGTTATAAATTTGTTATAAATTACAGTAATAAATGCATTATTGCAAAGGAGTGTCTATTGTAAAGCCTGATGTCCATAACATTGCTACACACTAGCACTGACAGCTTTGCTGCCGATTGGCAGCTCGAATGAGAGAGTTTTCACGATTATGTTGGGGACGGATTTCAGTGAGAACACTCTTGCAACAGTGAAGCAATTTTATGGAAACCAGGTTAAGGCTTAGTCTACTCTATCAGATTTTATGTGGCAAATTTGTGTGATGGGCCCATATATAGGCATGACAATGTATATTACACCCAAATATGGGCATATCACGTTTTTCTGTCTCAAAGTATTTGAGTGTGGATAGAAATGAAATTGATAGGATTATATTTAGTTTATACAAATATTTATAATTGAGTGATGGTGGTGATGATGTAATATATAAAAGTATTTAAATTTATTTTTACCATCCCATTGTTTAAATTGCTTTTTTATTCAAATTCAAAATTCTTTATTCAATCTATACAATCAGTAGCAGCCAAAGCTGAATTGCAGCATTGGATTTACAAGCTTTCCTACCAAATATGATACAATTTAAAATACTGTACATAGAAAAAAAAGACCACTACAGGAAAACAATTACAAGAAACATAATAAAAAACATTTACAATAAAAGTCATCATCATTATTATTATTAAAAATAACAGGGTATCAACAGTTGTGTGACTAGCACATTTAAAGGTCAAAGGTTATATTTTTGCATGACAAGCAAAATACTAGTGTCTGTATTCGCTGTGTAACGCATAAGGTTGAAAGCTTCTCAGCAGTCTTTACTGAAAGCATAGGCAGTTTATTTTTTTACGCTATATATAAAGGTCACGTTATTATAATCATGAAAATTATCATCTCTCATTATTTCATGAGCAATAATTACCTTCCAAAGTTCTGTCTTGTTGCTTCAGAAGATAATAATAATAATTAATAATGTTGGTATCCTTACGATTCCTTGATCAGCCTTGAAGTGACGCTTAACCCATTGTCCGGTAACCAGTGGAAATGGTACGGTAACATCATTATTATTATTATCCACAAAATGACTGTCTCTACTAATAAGATAAGGTTAAAGGTTAAAGGTTATTCATTTATATTGCGCAAAATACGAGAGTCTCTATGTGCAGAACAGATGTAACTGGAAAATTAAAAAAAAAAGGAAAATCCAAGCCAGATATTGTGAGAAAATATTTAATAATGTGGAGTGTATAAAATATTATATTATGAGATAAGTAGATGTGGGTTACAATAGTGTTTCTTCAGTATTATGATAGGTGCTAGTAGTACAGTATGTAACCATGTTATATTAACACCTGTGTAAGTTTCCTATACGGTAATTGCCAGTCAGTAAAGCTGTTAATACCATAATTGAAGCGATCTCTACCTGCATTATTTAATAAGTTAAGTACTCGTAAAAAAGCATCTACCAGTAATAAACTATGGAGTTAATGAATAACCTGATACGTTTAAGTGAACACTTAAATTTAATGCTGATGAGTTAATTTAAATAAATTCATTCTACGATATACATCTGTGACCCAGATACCTTCCCTCTGTTGCTATCCACTGCTAATCACACCAGTTGTATTAATTAAATTCCTGTGCATCCAACTGTACAACATTATGCGTGTTTGTTGGTTTTAAATAATTTAAATAATTTTTAATATGTAATATTTTAACACTTATAATTCCTTTTAATATGTAAATTACTAATAAATCATTCAAACTGGACATCAATTGAATAGTTAATTATTTCAGGTGTATACCTTCATTTTCATTTGGTTGTATTATTTAATTACTGTATTTGTGATAATTTTATGGTGATTTTGTGCAAAAGATATAGGTCTGGGTCACTAATGTTTGTATCTTGGTATTTTTATAGTACATAATTTCTTTAGGTTGTTTTTTTCTGTTTAACAATGGTTGTTTGCAGTTAACTTTTTTATCCTGTTCAGTTTTGAATATTAAACTTTGAGGTAAAACACTCATCCTCTTTGTTGTGGTTTCATTATACAGATCATGCCAACCATTCTTTGTTTTTGCTATATTTTAGACCTGTTCATAATAATTAAAGATTACAGTATATAAAAATTTCCTTTTTTATGCAATAAATTGTTATCGAAAGATAATAACAATTATCTTTCAAGAGGTGCAAGTCGAAAGTACGCTACTGCAACACAGTAGCGGTGCCAGCAGTGGTGAGGGGAAAATGACCACATTGGACAATCATGGACCATGATCATCCTATGCAATGACGAGGTTGTCAGACTGAAAATATTAATTTGCTGAACCAAACAAAGCTGTATTGTGATTGCTATCCCCTAGATATTATGCTCTAAAATCCCAATTTTGGTGGTGCAGATGTTTGTGTCTCCCCCCCCCCTTTTTTTTGGAAAGTAAAAAAAAAAGGAAAAAGAAAAAAGAAAATGCCTCAGAGGTTATTTTGGGCGTCTATAATACAAAAATTTGGTGGGGAATTCCCCCTAGGGTGGTGTTGTCTCGATCGGTCCCATTTTCAGCCCCCACATTCGGACATCTCTGGATCCGCCCTGATAACTTGTTCATCTGGATGGAAAGTGTATACAGTACTGTAGTTAGAGCATCCCTTTATGATTCGCAGTTAGGTATTAGTAAAGTAAAACTTGCTTAAGTCGACTTTGCCTAACTCGATTAATTCATAAGTCAATCTTATTTTACATGCCAAATTGTTGCGTTTTCCATTAATAAACGATTTGTAAGTTGAATTTTTTTCTAAAGTCAAACAATTTTTCAATGCCATTTTGGATTCGACTTAAGCAAGTTCCAATATCTTGCTCAAACTAAAGTACAGTACTGTAATACAATATTGCCTCTGTTGTTACTTTTGTAGTAAAATGTCTAAATCAGCAAAAACTTGCAATCTGTTCTTGAGGGGTTTTATTTTTTTTTGGTAGACAATACATCTTTAAATATTACAAATACAACACAATTTCAGAAGTAAATATAATAGTTCTTTTTATTACAACAATTCACATATTTTTGTTCATGCCACTTTGAAAACCCACTTTAATGATATTATTTAATTCTATTAATTGAAGGCAGGAAGTCAATCACTATGTCTGCTGGCTATATTAACTAGTAAACCTAATTATGTATCTAATAAAAGCAATCATGACATCAACATTTTATTAATTGCTTATTAGTTCGTCACGAACTAACACAATCAAAGTAGATTGTGTTAGTTCGTGAAATCACAGTAGCGCGTCAAAACGAGCGCGTATTGGTTGTCAAGCAATTTTGTATTCTTTACCACACAAAAAGTCCTTAACGACAACAGCGCGTATTTTGACGCGCTTTTTTGATTTCACGAACTAACACAATTGAATTTAATTGTGTTAGTTCGTGATGTGAGCGACGAGTTGAGCAACAATAAAATTAAATGCTTACAAAGTACATGGATATTTAAAAGAAGAATAAGGTTGGAAATTTTTTTTGTAGCAAGCTAATAATTTAACCTCAAAACAGTTTTTCAGTAGTTGGTTTCAGTAGTTAGGGATTCAAATTCACGACAGTTCAATCAATAACAGCTCTTGATATAATTATGTCTTTCCATCATAAAACTTTGTTAAAAAATCACTATTCATTTTGTTGTTGGGATCTTCATTGAAGTAATCCATGATGTGAGATCGTTGTTTCCATACTTGAATAGTCTCTTCTAGTTCCATTTTACCCTAAAAAACGGAGAAACAATCAATTAAAAAAGTAAGATTTGTGCAGTGACGTATCTAGAAGAGGGCGTGGGGTACACACCACCTAAAAAAACTTGTGCCTCCAGTCATAACTGTTCAAGCAGATAGCTATCGAGCTAGTGCCCCCTTACTTAATTATCGAGCCCTTATACCCCATTTGAGATTCCTGGATATATGCCACTGGATTTACTACACTTGCATTGTGGGTCAAGATAATTGCAGCTCACCTTTATCACAAGTAGGTCAATTGTTCTTGTGTCTCTAATGTGAGCATTTTTCATAAACAGTTCCCTCACTTTATCACGACCTTGTTTTACAGAAATGTCTAAATAATACTGCTGGACTGAAATATATAATTAAACAGATATTAATGATACAGTAATGAGATTTATATTACAAATATTAGTACAAATTTAACTTCATATTTCTCTCTATACAAATACCTGAGTTGAGTCAAATGTGTCAACACTGATTTCCTTTATTGATTGATATATTTTTAAAAATATATTAATATATTCTGATATCTATATATTTTCAGTTGTGGTAAATAGTCAATTAATTATAATTAATAGTACAGATACATAGAGTATCTACTGTATTATAATAAATCTTCAAAAAAACAGAATAGGCCTAACTGATCACTTCCTTTCTCGGCTCATCGAACTGAGTGTACCCTACATGAACAAATCTAACCCGCGGTTGGTTAATTTAGTTAGTGCCAGGCCTGGGCCTGCATCTACTCTTATTTGGTTTATCTACGTTTATGATTAGCAATATATGATAACTTACTAGCATGGGGTATCTCTCTCCACCATGCTTTATATAATTGAAACACACGTCTACGCGCCTCCTCTGGGTTTCTAGACATCATTAATTTCACATTTCTTGATACAGCAGCCACTCGGGCGGCTTGGGTAGGCGACGCCATCTTCTATTTTTTCTCCCGATAATGAGTATTGCCAGAAACAGAAATTAAAACAGTTTACAGGTGTATTATTATATAATTATAAGTTCATTTACTTATAAGCAAAGCTAAATTTCATACCAATACGAAAAATATTATATTTTTTTTATAATAATAAGTCTATAGTTTACAATAAATATATTTATTTAAAATGTCATTATACAATGCGTCTGTAGCATTGGAGACTAAACCGAGTAACTTTGATCTCGGTCCGGTCCGCCGGTAAGTGGTAAAATACGATCTAATGAGAAAACTGGCAGCCCATTAAAGATGTAACAGTATATAGTTTTTAAAAAAAAAAAAAAAAAAAAAAAAAAAAAAATAAATTGCCAAATTTGTATATTTTTAAATAAGTGATTACCTTCAAAGTAAAATATCTGAATAAGAAAAAAAATCCCCTGTTAATTTTTCCGTTATACATGTATTGCAAAATCCTTAATAAATTGGCTTGTAATAAAAGATTTTGAAAGTAAAATGTGTAAATTGGTGAAAAATATATTCCTTGATCTGTTTCTCGTTGGAAGATAGTTTATTTGATAATTCACCTTTGAAATGAGCTATTCAAAATTATATTTAAATTTTTTGAGGTATTTTTTCTGCTATTTTTACTGATAGCATGATGAAGATGCTCATAATATACTAAGCCTATATCTTTAACCTGTAAATGCTTCACCAGTGCCCTAGATAATATATAGAGGGCCAAAACAACGCACCCCCTTGGCATGTTCAAACATCCTTGCAATTAAATTCCAAAATTTAAAATTGGACTGAAAATATCAATAAAAATTATGTACGGGGCTAGTCTTCCTTAAATTCATATTGAAATGGTTCTATGGTGTTGGTTGTCATCAGACAACTGGCTGCCTACAACTTTGTTTCTTGTTGCTATACCTATTGTCACCTATTTCTTTCCCTTTCATATTTAGATTTATGCAACCTGTGCGTTGATGAAAATTCGCTATTTATGGAAGAATCCAGAACAAACAAAACTCATCACTAATAGTCACAGCATCTATGAAAGGGAAAGAAATAGGTGACAATTGGTTATACATCAAGAAATACCGCCCTGACATCTAAGCCACTTCAATGGCTTAGATTCCTATTGAAATGGTTCTATGGTGTTGGTTGTCATCAGACAACGGGCTGCCTACAACTTTGTTTCTTGTTGCTATACCTATTGTCACCTATTTCTTTCCTTTTCACTATTTAGATTTATGCAACCTGTGCGTTGATGAAAATTCGCTATTTATGGAAGAATCCAGAACAAACAAACAAACAAAACTCATCACTAATAGTCACAGCATCTATGAAAGGGAAAGAATAGGTGACAATTGGGTATAACATCAAGAAACCGCCCTGACATCTAAGCCACTTCAATGGGAATTTAAGGAAGACCTAGGTCTGCACATTTCTTAGTGTTATTTTCATTCCAATTTAAAACTTTTGGCATTTTGTAAGGTATATTTATATTTTGAACGTTTGAGCAACTCAAAATCAGTCATATGGGAAAAATATTATAATCTAGTTTGGTTGTACATTAGAATTTTGTTTTGGGTCCCACAAATCCCGTAAAAGATGGGCCACAGCTCGAAATCGCATGAAAACCGACCATCTTGGAAGGGGTGTTTTTTGTTTTTGTTTTTTTTTAAGATATCTCCGTTAATATTCCACCCATTTTATTGGCCGTTTAGACAATTTAATTAGAAATAATGTTATTTTATTTATAATTGCTAAATCAATTTTGCTTTACGCGTAGATTCCAGAATCCCAAACAAATTGTAGTATCGGTATAAAATCTAGGAAAGATGATTTACTATGAACGTTCGCTTTTCCTTCCTTATCCGGTATTTTAACATGATTTCTTATTGATAAAGAACATTTTTCATCGTCATGTGCCAGGTCATATATTATTTGAATCACAATTGACAAGGAAAATGAAAAAAATGGGAATTTATAACAACGCCACAACTAAGTTGAAACTTAGCAAGAAAGAAACGTATTCGTAATAAATAATATTTAATTCAAATCAACGTCTTTTTGTAATTCATCTAGGCCTGATTTGTTCAAATTGACCAAAATTCCGGGGACGCAATAAAAAACAATAATATTTTTCTTTGAAAATCCCTAAACTGACTACCATTTGAAAGAAATAGATTCCGAACTTACTGAAAAATAAAATGTAGGCAATTCAAATATTGAATTTTGTTGTTCAGGTTATAATAATATTAATTATTAACATAGGCCTACTGTAAAATTAATCAGCTGATTTGCTCTTGATGTGAATGATTTAGAGTTCGCATGTAGCCGTATACCGCCCTCTGTACTTTCATCATCGCGCGTTGCTATACAACCCATGCCCATAGCAACAAATCAAACTAATCAGCGCGGTGGTGTGACCAGTGTGTTGGCGAAGCTAGGTCTAACTAATAATAAATTAGAAATACTGAGTTTGAAACGTGAATATTATCGTCAAACTATGGCTGGAGACGTAGGAGCAGATGTGCAGATGCTTGAACTAAAATCTGTTATAGGATTTAATGGTAAGTTTTGTTTACGTAGGCCTCTCTCTTAGGTAGGTAAGGTAGGCCTAACTTCCTAGTAGTAGGCCAGCACTAGCTAGCAGTGCAGCAGTCTAGTACAGTACAGTCGGTAGGCCTAGCCTAGGCTCTACTAGTAGAGTAGTTAATACGTAGAGAGAAGGCCTAGCTTGGCTGGAACCTATTCCTCTCTGAGTGACTTGATTTTGATTGGTGAGTTACGATGTAATCATAATAATATTAATAATCAAAGTATTGATTGGTTTAATCTTGAACTTTAGTTAGTTTCGCTATCTCTTATTATTCTTTAGTAAAATACTAGGCCTAGGCTACTAGTAGGCCTAGTACTAGTAGGCCCTAGGCCCTTAGAATAGGCCTAGGCCTATATATGGCATAGCCTAAACATTCCCATTAAATTCAAATAAGGCATTTCATTTTTTGTACTGTTTTATTCAGTACATTCAGGAGATGTTTTTTAGGAGTCTTGACAGCGTGACATTTACTTTAATCGATGCTTCTATTAGTATTATTATTATTAGGCTTGGCCCCTAAGTATTTATTACTTATTACATTGTAATTTTAAAGTAACCATTATCATGTAATGTCATTTTACTCATTTCAGGTTCAGTGCATGCAGGTTTAAAAGTACATCCAGACAGAGAAAACATCGTCTACCCCTTAGGAAATGTTGTAATTATTGAACATATTCAAACACACAAACAAAGTTTTCTCACTGGACACACCAATGATGTATCATGTTTGGCGATCTCTAAGAGCGGCAGATACATTGCGTCTGGCCAAATTACTCATATGGGATTCAAGGTAACTCTTCGCTGTTGTAAAGCATTTAACTGGTCATCTTTCAATCTTAGAGCCTTGGTTGAAATCCTGAAAGTACTAGGAATTGTCAAAGCTAAAACCAAGGATGCTGCATCAGCCAGCAGTTGAGGTGTTGTGTATCAAATGCGAGACTAACATGCTGATTAAAATGTGAGACTAACATATTATATCAAATGGGAGACTAATAGCTATATCATATTATGTTTTTATTTGTGTTTTAGGCAGATCTGATCATCTGGAATTATGAAACAAAGGACATTTACTGTCGCCTTTCATTGCATAAGGTCAAAGTTCAGTCCTTGGCATTCTCCCCAAATGAAAAATACTTACTGTCTCTTGGAGGTCAAGATGACGGCTGTGTTGTTATCTGGGATGTAAAGACCATGACGTCAATTTGTGGATCCCCGGCAGCATTGAAAAGCGCAGGAATGACATATTGCGTGGCTTATTCAAACTTAAATGATAACATCTTCGTCACTGGGGGAGAGTAAGTCGATCATTTTAAACATTTAGACATTTGAGCTTGCCTTTGCCTAACTCGATAAGTCAAACTTATTTTACACGCCAAACGATTAAGTGATTGAATGATTAATTGATTGATTTGAATGATTTAGTGATTGATTCAATGAGCAATTGGTTGATTGATTGTTTAATTAATTAATTGATTGAATGATTAATTGATTGAATGATTAAGTGATTGATTGAATGATTAATTGATTGATTGATATATTGAATAATGAATAGATTGAGTGAATGATTGATTAAATGATTAATTAATTGAATGATTGATTGAATAATTGATTAAATGATTGATTGAATGATTAATTGATTGATTCAATGATTGAATGATTAATTGATTGAGTGATTAAATAATTGATTGAATGAATGATTATTTAATTGATTGATTGATTGATTGGTTAATTGATTGATTGATAATCAGTGTGTTATGCACCTTGATAAGTAAAATATTCTAAATTCAATCAATATTTACTTATCCCATCTATCATCTAGTCGTACACTGCGTGTTTGGGAACTTGATCGAGCCAATCGTAAGATTCGTCCAACAGATTGCACCATGGGACAGTTGAAACGAGTTGTAAGGAGCATTGAGGTATGTATTCAAAGACACCACATTAATAGACATCAGTAATAATATATTAGGTATCAGTGGGGGGGGGGGGCATCTTCCCCTCCCCACTTCAAAATATTTCAAAATTTTAAAAACAATAAAAAAATAAGGAAGTTTAAATTTAAATCTGAGAGTGCCATTTCAAGCCATCTAGAGGTGCCATAATTTTTCTTACCTTAACCATGATGAGGCTAAGTTGGGTGGAGCCTCTATTTGTGACATTATTTTTGTGTTTGTGTGTGTGTGTTTGTGTGTGTCACTGGGTATTGTGGCAGTGTGCACATGTTAAATTGATTGGAACCTTGGCAATAATAGCCAAGGTGTGGGAACCGTCCATTTCATTTTAAATCATTTATATCAAACTTTTATTCTCCTGGCTGAAGGAAAAAGGCCACAAGCAATGTGTCAAGAATTGGACACAACCATAAACTCGGGGACAAAAGCTTTCAAGTTCATAACATATTCTTTCTTTTTATTACCGAACATGACTGATTTTTAATATCATTTATATATCATTAAATAAAGGAGTCAGTTTGTTATGTAATATAATGTATATAAATTGGCTATAGTGCATAAACAATGATAGCGGTAAACACTGTATATGTACCTTTGATGATTTACTGATAGCGGTGATAGAGCTTATTTATGATTACATATATATACAGGTTTCAGAGGATGATAAGTTTTTCTACTGTGGAACAACCAGCGGTGATGTGCTGCAAGTGAGTGTAGACAAACAGCTTTTCCGACACTATGGACCGGCCAAGAATAAGTACAGCCTTGGTATCACAGCCCTAGCACTTGTTAAGACTGGAGAGATTCTAGTAGGGGCTGGAGACGGCACAGTGGCACTGATCAAAGGAGAGAAGTTCCAGAAAGTGAAAAGTACCAAGATACAGCATGCTGGAGAGATCACTTCCATCGCATTACGGGGTCATGGACATCAAGTAAGCTAACATTTCTTTAAGTAATTTTTTAAAATGAAATGTATTTAGGGCAATATGATTTGGATAAAGTTATTAATGCGAAATCAGAACCAATATTTACTACTACAAGTGATAGGGGTGCATAAAATGTGTTTACACTTGTTAAATTTTTTGTGTTAATTTGGTATGATTTGAAGTTGGAAAATAAAAATTATATGCAAAACAACATTTACTTCAACTCCGATTTTTTTTTTTAAATAACTTTTTAAGTTTAATTTGAAAATGGTAGGGGTACACTTTAAAAGCATAGTAGATTAAAATCTCATTATTTTTACCCGTTTCAAAAGTTTGATATAATTTAAGCTCTGTCCACACATGTGACAAATTCTGTGGTATGCAGAGCACTCCCAAATACATATTTATTTGAATAACGCCCCATAGGGCATTATTGTTGGAAACGGTTTTTGAGGGGGGCATTCATTAGAGGGAGACGTAAAATAGATGCGTATAGTCAAATAAGTGCCCCTTAAATTCACAGTAAATGTGGAATTACAACTCATAATTGCCGTCAAAGTGTGCTGTTATGTGATCAAAGACTTATTGATTCCAACCAGGTTAGAAAAAATGTAATTGTACTAGAGTACAACATTAATAAAATTTGTTGAGAATGATGTTGCTTCCATTAGACTTGCTTACAATTATTTATGGGCGTTTATTCAAGGGAAAAATAGACGTCTTGATGTGTTTATTAGAGGGAGGCGTTTATTTCAAATGTGGATCTAGAGGGGTGTTTATTCAATGCAGGGCATTTATCCAAATAACTACGGTAACAGGTATTTTATTTGTCACTTTAAATTTTGACAATGTGAACAGACTGTAAGCTATTGATGATAAATATAATTTCTCACTGATTTATTTCCTTATTTTTTAGTTTTTTGTTGGCACCAGCAATGCACAAACTTACCGGTTCAACTTTGCTGAGTTTACATTTGAACTTATCAATACATGTCATTATAAGCCAGTTAGGGACATTGTTTTTCCATTGTAAGTATAATGACAATCTAATTATTTTTGCTTACAGTAATTTGAATGTTGTGATGTTGGTGATAATATTAATGACGATAATGATGACTATGATGATGGATACGACTATGTTAGCAGCAGTAGCAGTGGTGATGACAATGATTTTAATGAAAATAATGAAATAATCATGATGATAATGCAGATGGTGATGCCAGTAATAATGATATTGATGGTGGTGATGATGTTGATGAAGATAATTAAGATGATGATAATGATGAAAATGCTGATAATTGTCAGGATAATGATGATTTTCTAAATTGATGATGACAGTGATTGACCTGATTATCATGGAAGGTGATGACGATGATGATAATTGTTGATTATTGTGATGATGTTGATGCTGATAGTAAGGTTGATGATGCTATCAAACTTTCATTCATCTAAATGCAACAAACTTGATTAATTACTTACAGTGGTTGTTCAGACATTTTTGCCACATGTTCTGAAAATGATATTCGAATTTGGAAAGGGACTAAAGAAGCGCTACGCATAACAGTGCCTAATATCACATGTCACGCCATCAACTTCATGCAGGACGGCAAGTATATTATCAGCGGTATGTGTACTTTCATTTTTTGATAGTGATGAAAATAAACGTACATCACCATTTGCCACATAGTAAGGAATAGTGTTATCCGAAAATCTTCTGCTTCTCTTTCTGGCTGCTTATTTATGTTTGCATTTTAGCTGTTGCTTATCAAATTTGTATCTTTACGAAGATCCAGCTATTGTTGTTTTTCAGTAATTTGCTTTTTGAATTACTTATATTGTATCTCATTTTACGAAGTTTACATGCTTTAGAAGAAAAAATAGACAATTTTTAAAGTCTTCCTCACCATCTGCTGATAATCAAAGGATCTGCTTTCAGGGGCAGACTTAGTGGGGTGGAAATTTAATTTATAAAAAAGAAAAGAAACAAAAAAAAGAAAAAAATGATTGCCCAAAATGCCTCAGGTTATTTTTTGGCTTCTAGAAAACAAAAAGTCTGTGGGCGCAGCTTACGGACCCCCTATGGTAGTGTTATCGTGATTGGCCCCTCTTTCGGACATCTCTGGATCTGTCCTTGACTTTACTACCTGTATAAATAATCCCACCCCCCATGGCCCAATTTTAGGGGGTGGGATTATATGGTAATACATGAACTGAGATGCAGTTTTGGTCATTGAATACAGAATCAATCCAACACAATGTAAAATGTCATTAACTCCATATGGAGTAGTCCTGGTAGAACTGACTCATGAACTCATGACTGTGGAGAAGCACAAAGCACTACTTGCTTAAACAGATTGCAGTATCCTAGAGTTAGGTTTAAACAGTTTAAATATTTTCTAGCATTATTTTTGTTATGTGTGATATTGTATTTAAAATTTCAGCCTGGAATGATGGAAAAATAAGAGCATTTCTACCGGAGTCTGGTCGTCTGCTCTACTGTATCGAAGACGCCCACAACAAGGGAGTAACAGCAATTGCTTCAACATCTGACTGCATGCGTATTGTGAGTGGCGGTGGAGAGGGTCAGGTCAGAGTTTGGAAAGTGTCTTCTACGTCGCAGAGGATGGAAGAAGCCATGAAAGAGCACAAGGGAAGCGTGTCCTCCATCAAAGTGCGCAAGAACAATGAGGAATGCATCAGTGCCAGCAGTGACGGCACCTGTATAATCTGGGACTTGATGTAAGCATTTTATTAATTTCTTTTTATCATGTCCAATACAAATAAATTACAGACTGGAATAACGTACTCGCGCACCTCTTAAATATGCGCCCCTCCTAATTGAAAATTGTCTTAAGCAACCTGTTTGAATAAGCGCCCACCTCAATTTTGAATAAGCGCCCCTCAATTCCTAAAAAAATTCAATCATACAGTACAGTACATCACCAACTTAATTTTCTGCATTGTTGGTCAGTCAGTCCATCTATTCATCTGTCGGGCTATCATGAGTTTTCAGTTTTAATGCATCTTTAGAATGCCGTTCTTGTTTTATTGATACCCTTTTTGGATTTAGAACTACAGTATTTAATATCTAAAAATTAAAATACTATATGGCCATTTTCAGTCAACAAAAATACACTGACCTCATCACTCTCGTATTTAGGCAAGAATTACCCTGCAATGATCCTGCTAATCTGAATTGGCAGATGGCCAACACCCTTACCACCACCATCAACACCACTAATTTTATCTGCTGTTGTGTTAATACCCCCAACATTTATGAGCCATGCTCTCTCGATGATTACATTTTCTTCACCAAAACCATTTGTTTATCTTTGATTTTAAAAAATGTGCCCCTTGAATTTTCCAATTGCCCATAAGCACCCCTTTAATTTTCATCTATTTATATAAGCGCCTCCTCAATTTCCACTCTGTTTTCATAAGTATATATATATATACACACAATACCTTTTTACCAATAAAATTTGTAACTGTTTTGTTTTTTCACCTTTTTTTTTCTAGACGCTTTGTTCGTATTCAAGTAATCTTTGCCAACACATTGTTTATGTGTGTTCTCTACCACCCAGATGAAATGCAAGTGATTACAAGTGGTACTGACAGAAAGGTAGGCTGTATATCAGTATGATTACTATTACTATTATTAATAATAATATGTAGGATGGCTTGGCAGAGGTGATCCTCAGCTGAGCTTTTCATTACTTTACGACAAGTTGATTTGCCGAGTGGTTAAGGCAGGGGGCTCCGCAACCTACAACCAAATTTCAGCACTGGTTCGAATGGCACACTCGTCTATGGTTCTGGTGGTAGAACAAGTCTTCTTGGATAGGGACTCTAAACCGTAGTCCCAACTATAAACAAACAGCCCATTTGTGAACGACCAGAGTTGCTGGTACAGCTTACCAGGTAGCACAGACATGAAGGTGCTCTTTAGGGGCGAAGGAAGTATTTGATCAAGCTACTAGTTCACACTTCAAGCGCTGTGAGCATCTTTTTTTGATGGATACCGGCAATATACAAATGTACACTATTTTATTATTACTTGCGACAACATGAGCACAAGTGAAAGCCTAAAGCACCGTCAAAACTATGAAGGTTTATGTGACATGCCTAAATATGGTCATAATGACATCACATTATGACCATGTATGGGCACATCATTCTATATATGTGCATACACACCAGAAACCTTATTTTCCATCCACATTCAGATTGGCTATTGGGAGTCCATAAACGCAGCACAGATTCGGGAAGTGGAGGGATCACAATCTGGTTCAGTCAACGGAATGGATATTGCTAGCGATGGAGAATACTTTGCAACGGGCGGCGACGATAAACTTATCAAGGTAGATTATACTCAGTTTGTATTATTTAGGTGCATTCATTATGACAGTGTTTTTGATCGATGACACAGTATGCTGTTTGAAGCATGAGTCATGACCCAGAGATTGTGGTAAAGAGACACAGTGTTAAGCCCTTTACACACAATTCAATTTAGCCTATCTGTCAAATATATGTATACCTACATGTGAAGTCTGCATCATAAGCAGAATTACTTTTATTTTTGCTTAAGATATCTTGCTTGTAAGTTTACCTTATACCTTGTATTACAGTTTTGTTTTTTTTTTTTATATCAAATGCGACGCTTTCTACTTGGCTCTATGAATCCTTTGGAAATAGACAGATAGATCTGGTATTAATCAATTGGGTTTAAATCCTGTTACAGGTATGGAATTACAAGGAAGCAGAGGTGACCCATGTGGGAATAGGTCACAGTGGCTTCATCAACAGACTCAAGATCTGCCCAAACCAGAAGATCATTGTCAGTGTTAGTGATGATGGCGCCATTCTCTTTTGGAACTACCCTTTCAAGTCATCTCGTTAAGAAATAAATTTAATGATAATATACTTAATATATGAAAATCATCCTTGAGAAACTATAGGAACACAGATTTCACGGAGATACAGAAATGTACATATAATGATATTCATATTAAATTTGTCATTGTTAGAATATTATTATGAATAATCTTTGTGTGCAGATCATACCATCTTTATTATCTATTAGTGTATATACATTGCAGGGTTGTGATCTATAAATTGTTAATTAAACTAGATATTTAGATAAAACTTGAAGAAAATCACCAGAATTGAAAACAAATTTTTAGGGGGTTTTGATCTAAAACTTGTTAATGTAATATTAATAACTAAATATTTAGATAAAACCTGAAGAAAATCACCAAAATTGAAATGAAAAACCTTCCACTGTTTTGTACTTTTTTATTGACGCTTTTGTAAATTTAGTGTCATCCAACAAAGAATGGCAAATCTTTACTGCACATCACCAAAAAGAATTAGTATTATATTTAATTGAAAAGATTTCTAATAAATGCTTCCTTTGGTAAAGATCTTGTACCAAAATTCCCAATGAGTTATGGGTTTTCCAAGTTCCAATGTTTTTCATTAGTCTGTTCATTTTATTGTTAACAACGTACTAAATATCATAGCATACTTCCAGAAATTTTCCATATACACACACCAAAAAGTTCTTTTTATTTAGAAATAAACAATTCCAATACAAAACTGTGTCCTCCGTGGTTTTCAGATGCCCCTCACCGTAGAGGTCGACCTGAAATTGCCAAATAATTAATTATGGGGACAAGACTGCAATGCAGTGCTAGATGTGAACACTGCACAAGTCACCACTTATGTGAATAAACAAACGGGAGATAAAATAGGTTGTTATGAAAATATATGCAGGGTTAGGGTCTATATGTATCACATGGTCATTAGTTTAATAAATACAAGTGATATTTGAGTTGTCTGATCCATAACTATTCTGTACTCTTTGCTCAAATGTACTAATACCAAATTGTATTATTAATGTATGGTATAGTAATATTATAATTAATGTGTGTTCATATATGAATTGTCTGTGTTAAGTACCTTATCAATGCCAGTGTTCTCCAAAACTATACCGTGGATGATCGATTGACAAACGTAAGCTTTTGTTTAAGGAATAATACTATAATATACAACTTTAATTTGCATCCGATTATCACCAGAATTAGTTCCAGCTGAAAGAGATTCTAATTTATATAAAATACATATAGTAGAATTGTAATGATAATTGACCTTTCCAGAATGTCAATTATACTTAATATCTGACTGGACCAATCAGAACAGTTTTGTGGAATCCTTGGCAACAATATCCAAGTGGCGGGTCTTAGTGGAAAGGTCCATTGAGAGCTGAGGTAGTGCTTGTTGAATTTCTAGCTTAATACCATAAAAGCCTGTCTTGCACTTGTACACACCTACTAATGTTCAATGTACTTGTGTCCAGCTGTGTGTTGAAAAGAAACCAGATTCTCTCGTATAACCTTAAGTATATTAAGTGTTCCTACAAGAATTATACTGTATTATACATTTATTTAAGGAGAATTATTGTTTGTATGTTGTGGGCCTCGAAATAAAGTAACTTGTTGAAGGAAAGTCGAAGCTTTTATGTATTTTTATTTTTCAGGGAGAAACACAATGTGTCCAGGGATGTGTCTGATTGATTTTAAAAACTACATATAATAGTTCTTACCAACTTCATGATGCGTCACTGAGCAAACCTTCGTTTTTAAAAATATTCGACTTTATCGTCAACGTATGGGTGCATTCTAAATATCACTTTGATAAATTAAATTGCTTAATCTTTTTATGTTAATTGCTAGCTTTAAAGTATAACGACCATTATTATTAATCTATAGATACTCATATTTTTGGCAGTACTACTATATATATTATATATATTACTATATATATATATATTATATATATATATTATATATATATATATATATATTTTCTAATCCCACCTAGCCTATTGTTTCTAATCATGCTTGCATGAAATTCTCACTTTATACTATCTGGCTTTTTCAACCCTCACTCACTCACCACTGAGGAAGGACTAGTGTTGTCCGAAAGCTCTGGTTCTATTTCTGGCTGTTTACTTGCGTTTACTTTTTAGCTGTTGCTTATCATTTTTGCATCTCTACCGAGATCCAGCCATTGTTTCCCACAGCATTGTTGTTTTTCAGTATTTTGCCTTTTAATCTATATCTATATATATGTGTGTGTGTGGGTGTGTGTGTGTGTGTGTGTGTATATCCATTTCTGAGTATAGAATGAATGAATGATCTTTGCTTGTTTTTAGCAGTTTTTTAAACCAATCATGTAGAGACGGCGGCAGACAGATATTTTCTGTTATCAGCAAGCTCGTGAAGTCTTGCAGGCAAATATTATAAAGGGCTGCAGACTGAATTTTACCAGTATCAATACTTCTTTTATTAGCCGTGTTATGGTTCTTTTTAATTTACACAGAAATACACTATGACAATCACAATTAACTTAATGTCAATTGTCAATCCATCGCTATAAAAACATCTTCAAAAAACAATTGAAAACGCTACGAATCAATGATAAAAAAAATAATAATTTGGTAACTTTTATAAGAACATGGTTGCTGCCCTCTAATTGCTGATTATTTTAAACTTTTATGAAGTTATTTTTTTAATCAATTCCCAAGTTTTTTCGAGTAGATATTGCTGTAAAGTACAGTACTTTTACCACAAACTCGATTAATAAATTATGTTACTGTAGAGAGGTTAGAAAAAAAGTCATTCTGTGTTCCTCAAAGGTGGTTTTAAGCGTATGATTACTTAGAACCAGTTAGAGTGTTTTGATTGTTAGCAATATTTATTGACGCAAAATTGCAATATTACACGTCACGAAAATGCCCACAAAATATAGGCCACACAATTAATACATTTAGTCAGAAATTGACTATTGTTGGTGGATCACTTGAATATTTGTGCGGTTACTTTTAGGATTATGCATGGAATTCAGTGATCCATCTCTGTAAAGCTTATTGTTAGTTATTGATCCATATAAAATATAAATCCAAAACATAATCTTAATTTTGGTTTGAGTTTGTTAAAAAGTCTAATACCGTACTCGCGCGAATAAGCGCCCGGGCGCTTAAAATAGGTTTTTTGCATTTTCTGAGGGGCGCTTATTCAAATGGGGCGCTTATTCGAACAGGGAAAACAGAGTGGAAATTGAGGGGCGCTTATGGAAATAGATGAAAATCGAGGGCTTCTTATGGGAAATTATTAAATTCAAGAGGCACTTTTTGAATGAAAAAAGATTATTTAGGCGGAAAAGATAATCGTCCAGAGAACATGGCTCATGACAAGAATGCGTGAATATCATAACAGCAAAATAGCAGATGCAATTAGTGGTGGTGGGTAGTGGTTAGCTTGTTGACCATCGGCCGATTGAGATTAGCAGGATGGCAGGATCATTGTATTTTTTCTTGAAAACTCAGATGAGAATGTGCTAAAGGTTGGAAAAAGAAAAAGAGGAGTAGGACTATGTAAAAAGTGTAAAGTTTTAAATATACTGTCTGTCCAGGGATCGGAGCTTTTACCAGTCCAAGAGAAATATCCTCATTCTGATATTGACCTAAGAAGAATGTGTCTCCACTCTGCAGCTCAAATCATGCCAACAACCAGTCCCAGGATTGATTGGATTATTGACTTGCTAAAAAAAATCTTACGAAATTATTCAAATTAGAAGGGGGCGCTTATTCAAAACGGGCGCTTATTCGTGCGAGTACGGTAGTATGGAAGAAAAGTATGTTTGTAGCTGTCTACACTACATCAACAGTCAATGATTCTTGTTTACCATTATCGCTAGTACTTGTCATGAGTTTTATTTTCACGTTTATTTTTTTCATATTATACAGAACTTCATCAGTCAATGATTCTTGTTTTCTATTATTACTAGTACTTTGTCATGGGGCTTTTCCAACTACAAGATAACAGTACTCTTCAGAGCTTTAAACTACTCAATAAATAACGTATAATAATATTATTTGATAGAGTTCACTAAGTCGGTCCCGTACAAGTTAACTGAACGCAACACGACACCTCCATAATGCACTATACCACGTGTCAACCAGTTAATTGAACCAGGGAGTTGTTATATAACAACTCCCTGATTGAACAGTTTAAGTTAAAAGTTTTGGTCCAGTATTGGACTTAGTTTTAAAAAAATCACACAATGTTGAATAACACTGATTGAAACACCATTTTCATTGTACTACAACTCATTTATAGCATACTGTATTTCAAACAACACAGATAATGAATCAGTGAGGATTTGAATGTGCTCTCTTTTGCCTATATCGTTCTCTCCCTTCTGTTTTGATTAAATTTTACTGCACACAGACAATTTACCAGTATAGCGCCCTCTGTAAAAATTGATGGAATCACGCCCTCTATGCTTTTTACTGGAGTAATAAAACAAACAGAATAACACTCGTGCGCATGCGTTGGACGAATGAAGCACATGGAGCCTGAAATCGAAGTACATTTTTTAATAACTTAATCGTAGTTTTAATTATTAAGTGTGCAGAATATTTGCTAGTACGTGATTTTTTCTGGTGAGTACTCATGTTAGTTATTATCTTTAAGTTATACTGGAAAATGGGCAGTAAATCTTCGGGAGCAGTCCATCCAGGACCATGGACAATGCTCCTCCGTCCGCCTAGCTAGGCCTAGGCCGGTGCGGTCTACTACTAGGCATATACTATAATTAGGACCTAGGGTAGGTGTAGGCCCTAGTAGTAGTAGTACTAGGGGCCTAAGGCCTACCCAAAGCCTTTATAGGTAGCTAGGAGCACACAAATTTTAATATATTTATGTACTACATTTTTATAAAAATATATGAAGTTGTATAATTGCAAAATCGTATTAAAAATGTAATTTTATGTACATTTTTATACAAATAAATGAAGTTGTATAATTGCAAAATCGTATTTAAAATGTGTTTATCTACGTGGGATATGACCGCCGACAAGTTGAGCCGCCGGTAATTTCTATGGAACGCCAAGCCCGTCTCTCAGTGAATGTAGTGCGTCTCTCAGTGAATGTAGTCGGCTTGCCGATGTCATCAGTGAATGGAACCCCCCGGATACCAGCTACATATTCATCCCACAGTCTTGTCAGTCGTTGATTTGCTCGTATTTCAATTAACTTATTCGTTATTTGTACTATTTTGTTAAATTATTTAATTAAATTATATTTATTTTATAACATTATTTATAATAAATGATAAGAATATATGGAGTTTTTTTTTTTTTTTTACTATCTGGCAAGCCTAATGAATTAGACAGATGACTATAAACAATAAATTTAAATGTGTTAGGCCTATGATA